GACGGGTCAGCAGGCCGGAGCGCTCTTCATCAAGTTCTTCCCGCCCACTGCATTCGACGTGGGTCAGAGCGCGACGGAAGCAATCTCTGAGGTCCCTTTTGCCACAGACCAGGCCGTACCGGAGGATCCTACTATGCCCATCCCGGAACCGCTAAGCCACCCATAGTGCTAGGATTTAGTCAAATCTATGGCTGTAGCCATAAAAATTGCATTCAAATCTATGGCTGTAGCCATAGCATGGATACAGTCATAGCTTTGACTAATACTGCTATGGCTACAGCCATAGCGTGGCAGGCCTTTGGTCCTGTTGCTTTTCTCGGCATCACCATGGCATGTGCAAGATCATCATTGCCATCAGCACCACCATGATCCCTCAACATAAAGTGTTGATCGGCCTTACTGTCTTCAACAAGCCGCGCCCCTCTGGGCGCGGAGGTTAGTGGTTCAGGCTAGGGTTTGGGTTTGGGTTAAAGGTTAGTCCCCAGAGACGTCATTTTTTCTCAGTTATGGCTGGGGCAAGGTAGCAAAAAAAAAGCCTATTACAGGCTCTGTAAGGGTTGGTTAGGGTAAGAAATATATTTATTGTCAGTTAGGGTTGGGGCAAGGGAGCAAAAAAAAATCCTGTTAGAGGCTCTATTAGGGTTGGTTGGGGCAAGAAATATGTTTATTGGGTGATAAGGGGTTGGTATAACCAGTACTAGGATAAAGCTTTCCCTCCACTTAGGGTAAGCCGCTTGCGGGTTACCCTAAGTTGAGGGAAATTGCCACATGTTTAACAGTGGTTTAGCTCAGTATGATAATGCATTGGTTTAACTTACATTTTTAGAAGGTCAGCCGTTCAATCCTCACTGAAACCACTGCCTAGCTGTTGGGTGTCAATCACAATCACAGGTTGTCGATCATAATGATCGTTGTTCACATCAGCACCGCCACGCCCTACGGCTACAGCCATAGATTTGAATGCAATTTCTATGGCTACAGCCAAACGGATTTGACTAAATCCTAGGGCTATGGCTCGCTAAGCATGGTCGCACTCGCGGCGGCCTTCGCGGCAGAGATTCCGGACGGCCGGTTCAGCACCGCTGAGCTGCAAGGATTTTTGCAGGGTTATCGAAAGAGGCCGATGGATGCGGTGCGTGAGGTTGGAGATTGGGTGGCGACTGCGATTCAGGAGCACAGCTAGCCAGTATGGGGATGTTGCAAATCGAGAGCTGTAATAACTTGAGAATTGATCTCGGTGAAATTTCACCAAGCTTCGAAGTTGTGCCTAACCATTAAGTCTATCTTTTCCTTCCGAGTCTTAGAGCACACAAATCAGGGAAGATGATTCAACTGAATCCACATTATTATCAGTAAATAAGTAAAGATGGTACTTTTATCTCCCCAAATTCGCCCACAACCAGATCAGGTTCAAGTTGAACGCATCCTAGTGGCCTCCGTTTCCTCATGTCGCGAGCGCATGAGATCCTCAACCCAGGCCGCGACACCCCGCACCGCCTCAGCAGGCCGGGTCCTGTATCCCTGGAGATATCCCTGCAGCTCGGCTGTGCTGAACCTCCCATTCGGGATTTCGGCCGAAAACTCCGACGCCAGCTTTACCATGCTCGGCAGTTCCGGGGACACCGTGAGCATAGCCAACGGCCGGGGGACAAGCACTGCGCTGGTCCCTGCCTCCGTATCCGAATCCTCCTCGGCTTCGGACTGTTCGGCGGAACTCGGCCCGCGAGACACCACGCCCGGCAGCTCGCGCTCGAAGGCAGCCGGGGGAAAGAACTTGAGGAACAGCGCACCGGCCTGTTCGGACGTAGCGAGCTCGTACTCGATCTTCACATCTATCCGACCGGGGCGCAGGAATGCTGCGTCCAGTCGCTCAATGTGGTTGGTCTGCATAGTATTGTGGATTAGATAGATGTGAAAGAAGGGCATTCGGGAATTTACCGTGGCAAAGAACAGCTTGCCCTCCTCGCTGCCCACCCCGTCGATGACGTTTAGTAGCCCCGAGAGCGTCACAGACGGCCGGCTGCGGTTCTGCATCCCATTGCGCGCTCGCATACCCGGCACAGGCTCGATTTCGTCCTCAGCCTCTCGGGAGGGGAATGCACAATCGATGTCCTCAATCAGGAATATTCCGTTTTTTGGGATCGCGGACGCTGCCCGCTGTAGATACGAGTCGTCCACGCTGCGATCGTCTGTCAATCTCTGGAGCAAAGGTAAGAAAGGAACAACTTACAAACGGGACGCAAGTGAGAGCGAGTAGATTTCGAGGTTCAGAGCCCCGGCCAAGGCATATATCGTAGAAGCTGTGTCATCAGCCGCAGAAATAAACGTCTAGAGTATAGGGAAACGCACTTTTGCCGGTCCCTGGTGGTCCATACAACAGATATCCCCTTCGGTGCGGAATACCTGCGTCCATGTACCATGTTTCAGCACTCAAAAACTCGCGTACATCTTCCATTAATGAGGCAAGGCGACCCGGTGGCAGGATGACCGAGCTACATGACGTGTTGAGTTTATCAGACAGTATGCAAATCGGATAGACTCACTCAAGTGACCTCCGTGTTTTGTGCTTCACTGTTGGCCAAACATGATTGGGCCCGTAATGCTGTTTGATATGTCATACTCGAGTCGGAATCGACCACAACAGAACTCACGGAGTCAGTCAGATGCACAACGACATGCGGCTTGTTGACCTCCACGTATCTCCTCCTCGCCGCCTCGACGAACTCGGCCATCACGGACATGTCAAGGGTGTATATTCTTTCCTGTCCCGGTTCATTTCCGAAAGCCCCGACCCAAAAAAAAATGCACACGCACGTTACGAGGACTTGCCCGCTCTGCGCAGGCATCACGGTCGGTCCCATGTAAACTGCCTGCGAGTCTGAGCCGGAGCCCGACGCGCTGCCCGTGCGCGTCACCTCGACCCAGTGCGTGCGCCAGCGGAACAGCTGCGGGTGCGAGAACGTCGGCACGTATTCCGCGTGGGCGTGCGAGGGCATCAGAGCAGAGGGGGTGGACGTCGAGGAGGATTCCGGAGTAGCGGCGGCGGCGGCGGTGGCGGAGCTCGACTGGGGCGGAATGGACCACTTGCGGCGCGAGTTCTGCGCGCAGACAACGAAATCTCGCGAGCGGCGCCAGATGTTTTCTTGTGTCTGCGTGCGACGTGAATGCCATGAGAACTAGTATGAGGAGGAATGGAAAGGGCGCACCAGGAACAGGATAACCCATTCGTACGCCGGGTCACCAGCATTGAAGCGAAGCGTCACGCAGTACTCTGCAGTATTAGTCGGTTGTCTGGCTAGAGATGGACGAGCAACGATGTTTTACGTACGTATGCGAAACCGCTCAATAAGCCAGCGAAACACTCTCCGTCCCGTCTCAACGAGCGAGCCCAGAACCAGGAGCTTGAGGCTCGAGCCAACGCCGACCCCGAGGAGAGAGGCCAGTGCACCTGGTGCATGCGACTGGGGTGCAGGGGGAGGCAAGGGTGCAGATGCGGGTGGTCGGAAGAAGTTGTAGAGGTGGGTTAGCGGGGACATGGAGGGTGCTCGGATGTGGGGAATGCAAATGTCAGAGCGCAAAGAAGGCTGGTGAGTCACAGGGTTTACGTTGCTCATGCCTGCACGTGGGACATGGCACAGCCATACAGCGGCGATCACTCATGAGTCCATTCCTGCGGTCAAGCCCTGGCTTGAGGATCGCGAATTTCTCGTTGTTCCCCGTCGAAGGCAATCAAACAGGCTCGGGAGGTCATATCAGATTCGTGGTTTCTCGGCGCTTCGAGACTCATGAGCACAAAATGCGGTTCCAAAGTTTCAAATTGGCACCATAGGCCCTCCTGTGATTCAACGTCCCCACCCTCTAAAATCTTCGCGAAACTTCTTGAAGTGACAATCACAGAAGCTGCATAGACGATCTGCAGGAGCTGCGCGAAGGAGGCGCGGATTCTCAACCTGCTCAGTAGCACGTGACCGTGTCATCACGATCAAATTTAAACCCCTGTGGTAAGAAACACTACACGCCTCTTGTGTTGGGAAATCACTACAACAGACGCGAAGCGGCGATGCCACGAGCAGCAATAATACAATCCTTACGCGCAACAGGGAATATTTGGATGTTCTAGTCCCCCGACTGATGAAGTCCTAGCCGAATCTACCTCTAACACTAAGCGAACGACAAGCAGGGAAGGTGCGTGACATCGAATCTGAGAACCCGAATACCTCCGCAGGGAAAGCTTTCTCGATCGTCTCTCATGTTCTGGCGCTTCTGCTCGGATTATTCAGGAGCCGCACCGTCGATCGATTTATGAAACATCGTTGAAGCTCTTGCATGGTGGGCGCATGGTGCAAAAGCGCTGCTAGGCCTCTTGCGCAGCGGGCATATTCCCCGGGGTACGAATTGGATCCACAGTGGAGGCAGCTGGTTGTCTATTCGATGATGCAGAAGACGAGACATTGGTACGCCTTACTTGATGGCACTCGGCGGTGCGCGGCGCCCTAGCTGTGAGACTGGATCCAGATTGCCCGGAATTAATGGTTCTTTTCTCTTTCGGCACCTTTCAAGGATGTTGCCAGACGGGAAGAAAATCTAATTGACTTTCCCCGAGGCCTCCGTTGCTTATCGATGTGCTTGTGACCTCATCCCAGTCAATAGCCTTCAGTTTCTGCTGTCCATTCACGTCCGTGCATTGCGTTGCAAGACAGATGGACAAGTGTCCGATGTCCATTCTCTCCCTCTTCCATGATATTTGGATGCTGTCCATCGACCTGAATATATGCACCGTACTCGTCTTGGCGGTGTCTCGATCTCAGCTAGGCTCATCTTATCACCTCAGTCGAACCAAAATCTGGCCGATTCCCCAGGAACAGCGCGGTCTGACGTAGTATGAGTTAGTGTGAGTGACAGTGGACGGCGACAGCTTGCTGATGCTCAGGTCCCTGCGGCAGCGATTCCTATCCAGCTCTCGTACAAAAGGAGTTCATGCAGGGAGAGAGGAACCTGAGCTTTCCCCCCATTCACAATGCTTTTCACTCGTGCTGCTCTCCAGCTGGCTGCGGCTGCTTCGATCAGTGCACAGAACACAATTCAGGGACTACTGGACTTTTATGCGACGCAGAACAACCTGCAGTACATGGCGAACCTCTTCGCGGCAGTGAACTACGGCTTCTACCCACAAGCTAACCTTCCTCAGCTTCAGGTGCGCAGTGTCTTCGGATTCATTCCATGCCGAATCACTTCAACGGACGCTGATGCATCCCCCACAGAGCATTGCAAACCACATCAAGAACTGCAGCGACGCGTTCGACCTCGCGACGATCGCAGTCACCGAGCTCATCCCGCAGGGCGCGTACTTCCCGCTCATCGACGCATCGGAGCAGGACACGATCAACCAGCGCTTCGTCCCATCCACGCAGGGCACGATCACGAGCCACCTCCACACGCTGCTGTACGAGAAGGCGTTCTACGAGGACGTGCAGGCGAATCCGGCGATGAAGATCAAGCTGTGCCACTGGGTCGGCGATCTCGCGTACCAGAATGCGATATTCCTCGGGATCATGGCGCGCGCGGCACCGGTGCGTGATCATGTTGCTTTTTTGTTTCTTGAATCTGACGTGCTCGGTGTAGACGTACACGACGTCGTGGACCAATTTGAAGACTGCGGCTGCGGGTGTATATAATGACTTTTTGGGTAACTTGAATGGGTTCTCTTGCGGTGGTCTGTGAGTAGCAGGTAGGAATACTTCGATTATTTTAGGGTTGTAAGAAACAAGAAACTGAAATCGCAGCATGATCACAGTACTTCGATTCTCAGATGCCATCTCTTCAACTTCGAAAAAGTACCATTCGAGGTCTCAGCAGTTTGGGGCAGCGGCCCTGCTGATTACGTCGTATACTGACAAGCTTTTCTGCGATGACGTTATGGTCAGCCTCAGTTCTCACCAATCAAGCCAAGCTCACTCTGCCACCACTACCTTTCGAACACCGATTGCATACCACGACAAACAGGGTAATTTTTCGGTTTGTATTCCTCCAAGTTGAATTGTGTGACTTCGAATTTTGCAGACGTAATCCAGGAGATTGATTGTTCGACATGGCAGAATTGGTTATGTTCCATCTGTCAAAAATGACAACCGGTCACTTGCCATATCGGGTAGGATGCTGTGCGATTACGCACGTGACGCAATCTCTTGCTGGACTGGCAGTTTATCTGTGGTTTTCTGCCGACAGGAAAAAGTTCAACAGCATTAAGTTATCTACTAATCTAAGCAGCAAGGTTTCGAAGCTAGCTCCGGCCTGTTGCCAAGGTGGGTGGGGTGATCAATGGTGGTGCACCATCGAAGCCATCATGCGTCGCGGGCTCCTGCGAGTGGATGATCATTTGCTGGTTGAAACTCCAGGATCGAGCGCTGTATTCTCCATGGCAGAGATTTCGACTCGATAATCTCATCATTCCTAGAGGACTTGTGTGTGCATAATTGCCTAAACCGGGGCATCCACATATCGACACCAGTCAGTATGTGGTTCTCGAGATTCGAAATCGGATTCTGACGTCGTTCCGTTGATCATATCATGCGAACCCACTTAAGCAAGTCATCGCGCAGAGCCATGCCACGTGCAGGAAGATAACGGGGCTGGCCGAGATACCTCGCGCCGACCGACGTCCCGCATGGACTATTCCATATGGCCATTCAGCTACCTGCTTCGTCGAGGCCACCATTGGGATCAATGGAAGTCTGCGCACTGGGGAATCAGCAGTGAATTATCGGAGAACGGACGAGCCCCCGCTTATCGACCAAGTCAGTCACGCGGACCCCAGTCTTCGAATTCTTCGTTATCTACGCAAGAATATCATGCCTATCATTCTGTGTGCGTGCCATGCCTTGTTTCGGAAGTTGGGCTCAAGCGAGAGGCAGAGTTTTCTCCTCCCATGCGCTGCTGGTGGCCCATTGCTGAGGCCTGTAATGACGAGCAGTGATCCCGGGAACGATGGGTGTCAGCCACAGGCCGTGCAGCATCAGTGTGACACTAGCTGCCTATTCTGGACGTGGAGATGTGACGATGACGAGTGAGCATTGATGATGTCCACTCCCACAAGCTTGTTCGCCTCGTCGCACGCGCTCCCAACCCGTGCATTCCGTGGGAAGAGAGAGGGGGGGGTTGGTGATACGTCTGCTGGCCGACAGGCGGCTTGTCCCTCCTTGTTGTCGTTGTCGCCCGAGAAGCCCAGCGAGGCCAACCGTTATGCATCGACTTGTGTCTGTCCGCCGCGCTTCATTGCGCTTGGCGGACTGATTGGCCACATTGTGCAACCCAGGTTCTTCCTTGATCCACATATGGGACTCGAGGTCACTGCCTCTCGCGTGCACATGGCAAAACTAAAAGTAGCATCAGGCGATAGCCCAGGGTAGATCGACGGATCCAGTAATCGGCATGGATAAAAGGGTGCGTTGAGACTGACCCGGGTCTGCATCCATCTGGTATCCACGATGCTGGCTTTCGGCTTCCTCGCGCTCGCGCTGACCTTTGCGTCTGCCACGCCCGTCTTCGACACGCTCGTCCTGCACGAGCGCCGGGCGGCTGCTCCAGAGGGTTTCGTCGCGACGGGGTTGGCGCCAGCTGAGCAGACGCTCCAGCTGAAGCTCAACCTGGCGCAGAACAACCTCGCAGGGCTGGAGGCCCAGCTGCTCGCCGCGGCCACTCCAGGAAGTGCGACCTACGGACAGTGGCTGTCCAAGGACGAGGTACGTATCTGCGGTTACCACATCGCTTATTGTGCGTTGATTCTTCTTAGGTCGACTCGTTCTCCGCTCCCACTGCGGAGACGACCGCCGCTGTGTCCGAGTGGCTTTCCTCGCACGGCCTGACGTCAACGACCCTCTCGCCCTCTGGTGACTGGATCTCCGTCACCGTCCCCGTATCCAAGGCGAACGAGCTGCTCGCCGCCAACTACCATGTCTTCACGCACACCTCCAGCGGCACCGAGTCGATCCGCACACTCGAGTACTCCATCCCCGCGGCGCTAAAGGACCACATCCGCGTCGTGACTCCCACAACGAGCTTCAGCGGCCCCCGTCCGCTTCCACCCGTGATATCTGTGGGAAACCCGAAGCCGCAGTCGCACGTGGTGCCGGTGTCCGACGCTGTCCCGGCGTCGTGCAAGAACACGATGACGCCGACGTGCCTGCAGGCGATGTACGCGATCCCCACGACGCCCGCGACGAGCAAGGCCGGCTCGATTGGCGTAGCTGGATTCGGGGACCAGTTCGCCAACAAGGCGGATCTGACGCAGTTCCTCAAGGCGCAGCGCCCTGATATCAGCTCCACGACGTCGTTTGGCCTGACCTCGGTCGACGGCGGCACGAACTCACAGTCGTTGAGCCAGGCTGGCGTCGAAGCCAGTAAGTGCATACCATCTTTCTCAACGGTTCTAGATGTTGACGGGTTGCAGACTTGGACATCCAGTACACCGTTGGCCTGGCAACTGGCGTCCCGGTCACATTCGTCTCGGTGGGCACCACCAACAAGGACGGCGCGGATGGAGGCTTCCTTGACATCATCACTGCGCTTATCGCCGAAAGTGCCCCGCCTCAGGTCCTGACGACCAGCTACGGCTTCGACACCGAGGCATCCCTCTCCAAGCCCCTGACGACGTAAGATCTTCCCAAACCCTTGATGATCACAAACTGATTGTTTTCTGATCAGTGCGATGTGCAACTCCTACATGCAGCTGACCGCTCGTGGTGTCTCCATCTTGTTCGCGACTGGCGACGGTGGAGTTGCTTCGACTCCTGGTGTGTCGTGCTCTGGACGCGCGTTCCCCCCTACCTTCCCGACTTGCCCATAGTAAGCGCCCCTCTGCGTGATCATCGTCTCGACTAACACGGGCTCCCCAGCGCCACTCTCGTCGGCGCCACCGCCGGTACTCCGGAAACCGGCGCTAGCCTCTCCGCTGGCGGTTTCTCCAACTACTTCCCCACCCAGTCTTGGCGTGCGTCGTGTTCCTGAGCGAGTATGTGCACGGAAACTGACGATATCTAGAACAAACCGCCGTCAGCGCGTATATCAAATCGATCGGCACCCAATACGCGGGCAAATACAACACAACCGGACGGGGGTACCCGGATGTCTCAGCCATCGGCCAGAGCGTGTCGATTGTCGCGAGCGGCTCGACGGGCCTGGTCGACGGCACGTCCTGCTCCTCGCCCATCTTCGCCTCCGTCATCGGCCTGCTCAACGACCGTCTCCTGGCCGCCGGCAAGCCCGTACTCGGCTTCCTGAACCCGTGGCTGTACGCCAACCCGCAGATGTTCAACGACATCACGTCGGGCACCAACCCCGGCTGTGGCACGAACGGTTTCTCGGCCAAGGCGGGCTGGGACCCGGTCACCGGTCTTGGATCGCCCAACTTCCCCGCTATGCTGAAGGCGGCCGGCCTCTAGGTAGAGTTATATAAATAGGCACTGGTGTTTTGTGGATTCTCTGTGTACATCGAGAGGTGTCTGTGTTGTCTTTTGATCTGAGGCTCCGACAGTCCTGATTCTTGGCGAGAAGCCCTCGTTGTGCGGGATCGAGTGATGGACGATGGGGCCATCGCAGCAAGACGATCAATCTCCGTCATTGTTCCGCATTCGTCCTGAAATAGAGATGACGACGCTCATCAAAACCTTGTGAGCCTTGTTCTGGAGCCAAGCCTGCTGGGGTTCAGGACGGCCCAAAGGCCAAAGTCGTGCTGACAGCAGCAAATGACACACTTCCTGTTCCCATCAATGTGTTCCGGGGCTTGCCGCCGGCGATCAATTCCACTGCGTAGGACCTATTTGTCATGCATTATGAAAAGGTCGCATCTGGGCAACTCCCGAGTTGCAAAAAAAAAGGATTTCACAAGTGGCATCGGATCTTGTGATGAAGGAAGTGGAGCTGTGACATTTGACATGCTGTCTGTCGAGCGACGGTGACGACTCGACCCCGAAGATCCCCAAAAATATTGGGGTCTACATGGTCGTATTTACAGCGAAATCTGCACATCCAACGGACCGGCCAGCAGACCAAATCTCTTGTGAAGTAGAACCAGTCTCATAAGAAGCCTAACACTGCACCCGGATTAAGTACAGGCCGCGGCAGCATACGGCAGATGAACAAGACCTCATAAGGCTTAGCTCATCAACGGGATGTGTCACGCGACGCGACACTTCGAATTCTTCTTCATCTTTACGGGCAGATCAGCCCTATCAGTCTGCCCAGCAGCCAGGCTCAGAGGACTGGTCGCTTCGGCTAAATGTCAATCGAGGTCCCCGCTTCGGGCTTGCATGTGGTAAAGCTTGAATGCGCTGCGTGGAAATGGTTCTGGCGATGTCTGGGCAGTGGAGATATATGACCGGGTCCTGTAGCGGCTTTTTAAAGGTGCGCGATAGAAGCCCATTGAAACCCATTCATCAGGCCTGCAGGATGCTAGCTTTTGGCTTCCTCGCGCTCGCGCTGACCGTCGCGTCTGCCACGCCCGTCTTCGACACGCTCGTCCTGCATGAGCGTCGGGCAGTTGTTCCGGAGGGCTTCGTCGCGTCGGGATCGGCGCCTGCTGAGAAGATACTTCAGCTGAAGCTTAACCTGGCCCAGAATAACCTCGAAGGGCTGGAGACGAAACTGCTCGCTGCTGCCACACCGGGTAGTGCGACCTACGGACAATGGTTGTCCAAGGAAGAGGTGCGTAACCGCGTTTGGCTCGCTGCAGACCATGCGCTGACTCGTCCTAGGTCGACTCATTCTCCACTCCCACTGCAGAGACCACTGCCGCCGTGTCTGAGTGGCTTTCCTCCAATGGTCTATCATCGACACTCGTCTCTCCCTCCGGTGACTGGATCTCCGTCAGCGTCCCCGTGTCCAAGGCAAACGAGCTGCTCGGCGCTGACTACCGGGTTTTCACGCACACCGCCAGCGGCACCGAGTCGATTCGCACGCTTGAGTACTCCATCCCGGCCGCGCTCAAGGACCACGTCCGCGTCGTCACTCCCACGACCAGCTTCAGCGGGTCCCGCTCCCTTCCTCGCGTGATGGCGGTGAGAAGCAAGCAGCCCGAGCCGCGCGCGGCACCGGCGCCGGCGCCGGTGTCGGACGCCGTCCACGTTTCCTGCAACGACACGATGACACCCAGGTGCCTGCAGTCCATGTACCGCATCCCCAAGACGCCTGCGAAGAGCAAGAAGGGATCAATCGGGGTAGTGGGGATGTATGAGCAGTGGGCGAACAGGGAGGATCTGAAGGACTTCCTCGAGGAGCAGCGCCCGGACATGAACTCCTCGACTACGTTCGGCCTCCTCTCGCTCGACAACGGAACGGATTCGCAGGCCCCAGATGATGCCAGCGTCGAAGCTAGTGAGTGCATCATTTGTCTTCTGGTCCCGGTGCTCATGATCATGGTCGTAGACATGGACATCCAGCTCACCGTGGGCCTGGCAACTAACGTTCCGGTCACATTCGTTTCTTTGGGGACCAATAACACTGATGGCGCGGACGGCGGCTACCTCGATATCATCACAGGGCTCATTGCCGAGAGCGCTCCACCCCAAGTGCTCACAACCAGTTACGGTCTGCTTGCTGAGTCCTATCTCTCCGAGCCCCTCACCGTGTAGGTCGATCTGGTCACCCCGTGATTACAGAGAATGATGTTTTGATCAGGGCGATGTGCAACTCGTACATGCAGTTGAGTGCCCGAGGGGTCTCTATTCTGTTTGCCTCGGGCGATGGCGGTGTTTCTTCGACCCCTGGTGTGCAGTGCAATGGAACAGCATTCGCGCCCACCTTCCCTTCCTGCCCTTAGTGTGTTCCTCCCTGTCCCCTTCCCATCATCCAACTGACGTTACCTTCCAGCGCGACTTTGGTCGGTGCCACCTCCGGTATGCCAGAAACGGGCGCGGCCCTCTCCGCTGGTGGTTTCTCGAACTACTTCCCTACCCAGTCTTGGCGTATGTGCTACTTTTCAACGAGTTCTTACAACAGGCTGATTATCCCTAGAACAATCCGCCGTCAGCGCGTACATCAAGTCGATCGGCACGCAATATGCTGGCAAGTACAACACCACCGGTCGGGGGTACCCGGACGTCTCGGCCAGCGGTGTGAACGTCACGATGCACCAAATCGATCACTGGGACTTGATCGACGGCACGTCCTGCTCCTCGCCTATCTTCGCGTCGGTGATCGGCCTAATTAACGACCGGCTGCTGACCGCCGGGAAGCCCGTGCTTGGCTTCCTCAACCCGTGGTTGTACTCCAACCCGCAGATGTTCAATGACGTTACGACGGGAAATAACCCTGGTTGTGGAACGGACGGCTTCTCGGCCAAGGCAGGGTGGGATCCCGTCACCGGCATGGGAACGCCCAACTTCCCTGCTATGCTGAAGGCCGCCGGTCTCTAAATAAGACCAAAATAATGGGCACTTAGTGTTGTTTTTCTGATCACAAATCGAACTCTCATGCTGAGAAACTCATCTCTCCTTCTGCCGAGTTTAAATTTCAACCTTGTGTCGCCGGGAGTACACGAGAGCAGCCCCGGAAACCTTTGAGTTGCCCTTCAAAACAACTGATCTACATTGAACTCCTATGCTAGACAACGGGACTAGCCCGAGAGCCTTTCGCCTAGCGCTACTAGAAGGCGTTGACCCGAGAATTCCATACAAAGAAAGATTATGAAAAGAAATGGTTGAAAAGCTGATAATCAACAGGTTATCGCGACAAAAATGAATGGATGAGCTGAAAGTCACATGACAAACATCATAGAAACAATTTTTTGGATTTCTCGAAAGAACAGAAGTGTCTTTACATGAACAGAAAGATTCCTACTGGCAGACGGAAGCGTATCATACAATGAGAGTATCTCTACATGGCCAAAAGGATACTCGCAGACGGTGTTCTAGGCTCAAACGTAGCGGATGGTGACCGAGTCGCTGGTGGCGCTGACCGAGGTGAGAACGCTGCTCTGCTCAATGTCGAGCAGTTGGGCACCGCTCGGTCCGACAGTTCCGCCCGAGGCCAGAGTAGCCTTGGCACCGGTGAAAGTGACCGTGCCAAAGTCGGCGAACGGCACGAGCGAGCTTCCCTCCTCAAAGTCCTCGACGATCCACTCGGCGTTCTTGCCGCACAGCTTGTGGCTGCCGGTGAGGGTCTTGTGGACGCTCTTGCCGGTGGTTTCGTTGGTGATCGAAACACTGCCGGAGGTCGAGGAGGTCTTGGTGGCCACGAGGGTGATCACGTCGCCCGCCTTGACGGAGAAGCCGGTGAAGTCAGAGGACACGGCGGGGTAGTACTCGTACCAGGCTGTGAACGGATTGAAAATCAGCATTCACTCCGCTGTACGCTAAAGAGAAAGAGCGCGTACCGTCGTACGACGCGCGGCTGCCGTCGATGGTGAAGTCGATCCCGGTCTGCATGATTCCGCTCGCGCACGTGTCGCCGTCAATGCCGACCCACGCCGACGCCGCATGGCTGCCGGATCCGCGCGCCTTCGGGGTCGGCACGGTGAACGTGCCCTTGACCGACGTGTACGTGCCCGACGGGCTCTCGAGACTCGCGCCGGCCCAGTTCTGGCTGTACTTCACGTGCGAGACCGTCGTGTTGTTGATCAGATTCGCCGCGGGGCCGTTCGAGGGGATGAGCGGGCCGGAGCGGCGGCGGGTCTGGCGGCTTGCGATGCTGGGGCGGCCGAGGGCGGTGCTGGCGAGCAGGAGGGAGACGAGGGCAGAGGCGAAGAACATTGTGCTTTGGCTTTGGCTAGTGCTGGAGAGCGACGTTGAGAGGATGCCTGAATGGAACCTTGGAGATTGGTACGCCCAATGGCTTCAGGTTTTATACCTCCTTTGGTCCCCAATTAGCTGCTGTACCCCCCATGCGCATCCACATTCATCCTCGACGTGGGGTCGTCGGTGAGGCTCGCGTCCATATGCTGTAGCACACGCAACTCGCCACAAATAGACTCGTTTCGGTGACTCTAAATATTCCAATCACGCGCCGTCGAGAACAGCGACGTGGTTTGTCACGCGACAGAAGAATTCGATGTCCGCGATCTCCGAGTGTCCGTGCGACATGGCGAGCGTTATCTATAGAAAGACATCGCAAACAAGAGCCAGAAATATCCCTGTTGAGCAAATTCTGAGGTGGGGAAGTGTGGTGGAGAAAACTTGGGGTAGGCTGTAGCGAGCAGAAGCAGCGAAGGCAAACAAAGTACGGCCCGACCGGTCTCAGCCACAGCCTGATCGCTGTCACGGGACTCGGGCTCCCGCATCACGAGACCCAGACCATCTCTCCTACCATGAAACCATTGGCTCACATTCTTCAAGTGCTTATTATTGGATTTACTTCGGGTCGAGATACCGTTTTTATTGATTGTCGCAGTTCTGCGACATCTGGGGCATGGCGATCATTGACCTGCGCAAATATAAGGCTGCTTTATCAAGGCGAACCTTTCTCTAATGTCCAATCGAACGTGAAAAATTGTAGGGCGATTCAGCTGAGTGTCCATATCAATCAATTCTGGTTCTTCACTGCCTAGCCTCACGCCACGCACACATCCATGTTAAGCAAAAATGTTCTATTCTATGACATCTAATCTCTAAGTTTCGCCGCGCAGTTTTTTGGGGAGCATCAAGGTGCATCGAGCTGCGATCATAGCCAAGAAAATCAACACCGGATAGACCAGGTATCCACCCAACCATCCCCGCTCAATCGACAGCGCAAAGAGAGAGGAGCTGACGGACGGCGCGACGCTCCGGAAGGTGGTGGACGCCATCTGCGCCAGCCCGTTGACGCTGCCGATGCTCGCCGGATTCGGAGACGCCTCGACGACGAAGAGCATCGTAGAGGCTGGTTTCGTCAGCCCTGCTCACGGACGGCAAACATGCGGACGACGCACCATACGCGGAGGCGATAAGGCACGGACAGACCTGCTGCACGACCAACACCATGATGACCCACCCGTCGATGTGTCCGCCGGAGCGGCGCACGAGGAAGTTGAGCAGGGGGTAGATGGCGATGTTGAGTGCGATGGCGCCGAATGCGATGGTGAACAGCCGCCGCGCGCCGAAGTACCGGATGACGCTGCCGCCCAGCCGCATCTGGATGATGGCGTTGCTAAAGCCGGCCAGACCCATCATCAAGCCAATCGTGTTCGGTCTGCGGCCTGATCAGAAAGTGGGGGGAGGCGGTCACGAGATCACTCACTCCAGTCCGAGACCGCCCAGATCCACCGATGTCGCGTACATCTATGGCGAATCGGTAAGCAATGGAGTGAAGCACAAGTTAAAATAATGACCAGAGGCAGGAGCGCACTAGAAGACATTTCGCAGAACGCCAGCAGCCCGATGTTGAGCAGGGCGACCCGGACGGGTTTCGTGAACAGTTGGGAGACAGGAAGCAGCTCTCCCTCCTGATCAACAGGTGTTGGCTCAGGCGCACTCGCGAGTAGCGGATCTGTTTCGTTGGGAATTGGGGACGGGATAGTCTTGCTCGCGCGAGATTTTCGCAGGGCGGAGGGCAGTGTCTGAACGTGGGTGTGAAATGAAATAAGGGGCAGAGCATGTGATGAGATGCACCTCCTTCAGACCCACAAACGCGATGCCAAACACAAAGAAGGATATGGCTGTCGCCACCGCACAGGGAAGAAAATACGGGTGGTTTCGTATGTATTCAATCTTCCCGAACGTATCTGGCCATTTTTTCGCTGCGTCCACTAGCGTTCCTCCGATGAACGGACTGGGGCCGATAAGCTACACTGAGGCTGAGATAGTAAAACACGTCATACCTCATGGTCGATCCTAAACACCACGCAATAGGACTCATCGCAAAGATGTCGGCCACATTCGTAGAGTCGGAGATCTAAACGAGTCAGTCCCAGGCCAACATAAACACCGACAGGATTTGTATTAAGCACCTCATTCATTGCCGTTTTAGTGACGCCTAGAATGCATTTAGTCATCCGGAAGCAATGCCACCCCAGACGCGCACGCACCGATGTTCCCATTGAACGCGCCGAGGAAACACCGGAAGACGAAGAGCGTCCAGAAGCGCGAGGACAGCCCGAATCCCAGCATCGACAAGCCGTGCCCCAGCGGAGCGAGCAGCAGCAGCGGGCGCCGCCCATAGATGTCCGATAGCCGACCGAATTGGAACACCGTCAGCCCCTCCGCTAGGAAGAACGATGATTCCTGGACTTCGCGATGAGCCACGGCTGCCGAACACAGAGGGATGTATATGAGTGTGGGGCTCACGCACCAGCAGACCAGCATAGAATCCCGTTTTCGTCTCATTCCCACCGGTGATGCCCGTGTCGCGCACGAACTGGACAATGAAGGGGTAGATCACGAGCGCTGCGCCCGTCATCAATCTGGATTGAAGCGTGTGGGTGTGATGGGGGCGGCGGCACCTGTGATGGGCTCCGTGAACTGGATGGCGAGCAGGATGAAGAGCTGCAGCTTGGGGATCGGGGTGCGCTTGCGCGGCGACGCCGGGGTGATGCTCGTCATGGTGTGTGTCGGCCGTCTAACTGCGCTGGTCAGATGGCTGCTGCGCGTCTATGGCACAAAAGAAACGAACCTGCACTTGATCTCAGCTCTGGTCGGTGCCCCCTGGAATGCTCGACGGCGGGTATGGACGGAGAGAGCGAAGGAAGCTGGCGAAGCCAAGCGCGTTCCCGATGAGTCACCCGCTGATAAGCCGATAGGATGATGTCCGACGGCGAAATGAATATCCAATCGAGCACAGACACGTGATCCAAAAAAACTTGTCTCTTGACGCTGGTCATGGCACTCAGGAGATCTGGGACTGGAAATTATTTTATACAGCGTCGAATGCACATTGCAGGTCCGGCAGACAGGCTCGGACCGGGCTTCAGTTCGATTGGGCGAACGGACCGATGGCCTTCGTAGGCCGGCCTACCAACTTAACAAAACTCTGCTGAACAATGGATGCTCTCAAGCCAAACGTTCCCAGACAAGCCACCGTGCGCGGAACGAACAGTGTGCGAGGCCGGAGAGAAGCACCGCTTCTCCGTCCTGCTTCTTGTCACGTGATAGAACTCTGAACAATTCAGCCCCTGAGCAGTTCAGTAAGTATGAGGTAAATCATAGTGTGAAGCGATCAGATTTTCGACACTGAAGAACACGCAGACGGGCGCGACTGAACAGGTTCCTAGAGATGTGTGGTGACCAATGACAGGCGCCTCATCTTGTCTAGAAACCCGCATTGGCCGTGGCCGGCGAAAATACAATCACCGTAAGATGAACATCCCAGCTTTTCAAGTTAGTTAATCCCCGAGGCAATTACCTCGTCCAGATGGTTTCCTACTAATTCAGACACCGCCTCCTGGGAAGTTCATGATGCACATCACGGGACAGTTCCAGTCGAGCTGCGAGCTCTACATGAAGCCATGATTCTGTAGACACGAGTAAAGTTATGGCCGAGCTCTGTAAGATAAAGCGGCGCAAGCATGGGGGTCGTGTGCAGACGTTGGAGTTTTACTCATTCTCATATTGACTGACTTCGCCATATGTATGTGTCACCTAATTCACCCTGGTTCACGTCTAAGTAGGTGCGGGTGCTCATCATCTATCAGCCTTCGCAATCATGGAATCGGACGATGTTCACTGCATGCTGATGAGCACGGCCTGCTCGGCCCCTGCAGCCTTCCAAACGTCTGTTCTTGTGAGAGACAACCGAAGCACACAAACGAGTGCATGTATCCATTCAAGATACGATAAGCAAAGTGAAGGCTATGAATATCAACATGGCCAGAAGAAATGCGATGCCCCCTATCCAAAACCGCGTCACAGGGAATTGTCCATCAAGCAGCGCTCTCTGAATCGCAAAGTATCGGCTAGAGCCTATGCATCCCAGAGTCAGTCAGACCTATCTACTGGACACTTGATGCCGCCACGCACCCAGAAAAATGACACCCAGCCCGAGGACAACTGCACTCCCGGCGAGGCCAATCATGTAGCGCGTGAAATTCGGACCGGAGATGCCGAGCTCCTCGACGTAATTCGAGACGAGCTGCGCTAATGCTGCCGAGCGTCAGCCTCGAAACCGCGAACATCGATGCGCCTAGAGCGTACCGACGCCAGCGGACGCGATGCTCAGCCCCGTGCCGATGTACGCCAGGAACGTGCGCTCGGACGCGAGGTGGTCGCGAGCGGTGCTAGCCGTGTTCGCAAGGACGAGCGTTTCCGGAAAGCGGATGCATTGGCGAAGGTCAGTTATATATTTAGTGATGATGGTATCAAGGCCGCTTGGTGTGATTTGTCGGGGAGGATCCTGCGCGCATGGGTCCCCGCCGTGCCCGTGGGCGTCCGACACCGATTGGCCGCGCGCGGGATTCGTGTCGTATGAGAGGAGAGTCGTGTCGTACAGAAGCAGTGGGGAATGCTCGGTCATTGTCGGCGCCGTAGAGTGCGGGTCGAGTGAATCGTAATCGTAGGAGCGTTGGCGAGAGCTCGACGACCCAGGCGCCATGGTGGGGCGGAAGGAGGCAGGCTGCTCGTTGACGTATCACACGAAGAACCAAGCGACGCAGCGGAGGGATCCCAACGAACCACAACCGGTACACCGGGGAATGAAACGTCAACCGTCAAGAAGTATGCGCGGAGTCTCGGCCTCCCCAGTGGACCACTCCTGCGACCTGAGATTACAGTCGGTTCTTGTTCTCTCTGTGCTGCAGTTGATGTAGGAAGACGAATAGGATGCCTGGAAAATGTTTCAATCATTCCACATCGTTTGTCACGAGTCAAGAAGGGACAAAGAAGCGATAGAGTTGACAATCAGCGAGCTCACCACTGCTCTGGAACGGGGGCTTGGGAAGAGGGGAGCTGTCCGTGCACTGAGCTCTTTCAGGGTCCCCGATAAGCCGCTCGATAACGGCTCGAAGTCGACGCTTGTACGTAAATATGGGGCATCGAGTCGGCCCTGGATGAGGGAAGATGGCGAAGGTATTATGCAACTTCGGCTGCTTTCCTGTGCTTGTACATGTTTATGATCTTCTCTAGTGCTCCATAGCGGATGTTCTCCTTACAATCTGCACAGTCTCCAGTCCGTGGCGCTACGCGCCAAAATATCAGGCCGTCACGAGGACAGGATGAAGCACACTCTGCGGAAACGGTCACTCCTCATCGAAGTGCCAGTCGATACCCCACCCCCAGACTGGATGCCAGTTTACAACAGCTCTGACTCCTCCGCTTCCTGACGCGAGCGTCGACTCGCTGGTATCCGACTTCGTATCCGCAACCAGGCCGGGCATATCCTCCTCCTCCTCCTCCAACATCGTTCCTCCCTCCAATGGTGTCTTGGCTGCTGGCCGCTGCAACTGAGGCCATGCAATCTCGTCCAGCTTGGTCGGTGGAAGACGGAGCAAGTCTCGGCCGCCCAAGACACCCTTCGCTGACCCCGCGTACGCCATGGGATTGTGTGCTTCGCCCTTCGCAGGTTCATCCAGCAACGCAACGACCTCCGGCTGGCGCGTCCACGCACAGCGCAAGCCTGCGCGAGAGCATAGCGTGCAATCGCGGCGTCCTTTGAACGTGCACTTCCCTGTCGGTCACACGTATGCTTCGCAAACGTGGTGGTGGGCCGGTACATGGGCTGAGTGGGACGAGGTGGATGAAGAGGGATGGGTGAGTGTCAATTCAGTCGGCGCCGGTGATTTCTAAGAAGACATCCAGGCATATATGCAGTCATATACTGCTTATGAACACAAAGCGCAGTGTCCTGTGGACACGAGCTTGGAGGCTAACAATAACACGCGCTGTTGTTTTGGGAGTCCAGGCGGTGGCAGGTCAATGCGTGATGGTCATCCAAATCCTCTCCCAGTTTCGCTGAGTGCTCTCGGCCGCTTGGACCTTTCCTGTTATTGTCTCCCACAAACAATTCCAAAGAGCTGGCGATGGCAATGGTTCCGTATGGCAATATAAGAGAAGGCGTAGGAATCACCGGCAGGACTAACAAGCTCATCCCCGCCCACCCATATCCCACTCAGCGCCTCGCTGCACCAATGCATCCTACTCTGATCTCCGCAAGACGCAAGTGCGACCGCTGCATCGCCGAGCGCGTCGCCCGGTGCTCCGCCAGCGGCCGCAACCAGTGCAAGCGCTGCGCTCGTGCCAGCGCCCCGTGCACCTTCGAGTCGCAAGCCGAGCTCGAGCGCCATCTCAACTTCGAGGGCGTCGAGCTCCCCCCGTCTGCTCTGCGCGCGGAGGACGACGATGTGCTATCCTCACCGGACAGCCCAGAAGCTTCATACAATGACGAGCGTGACTCGGGGAATGATTCGCAGTCGGAGCTGGCCGGTCCAGCAGGTTACAACTCTACCGAGGATACGGATACTGGCGGCAGGGCGAAGCCAGAGACTGTGTCTTCGTCGGAATGACGTGGAATGCGGCGGAGTTGCGTGGGAAGTGCAGGACCACGGCGGCTGGAAGTCGGTATAGCCAGGTACCGGGATGATGTGTAGCTCGACGGCGTACTGTGGAATGCAAAAGTGTGGCTCGTTTTTAGGCGTTGATAATCGCAGATACTTTGAAGCTACAGGCAAATCGAAAGAGGTTGAGTAGGGCATAGGAACCGTGTACATTAGCGATGAAAATCATATTTTCTGTATCGTGCCGCTCCTACATGGTAAAGATGTACTCGACAGTCAGTCTGAACATCGAACCGACATGCACCAAGATGGAGGGCCGACTGCAAAAGGACCTCAGCGGAAGCACCCGATTTGAAAGTAAAGAACGCACCATACACTCCCCGGTCACCGCAAAACAGGACCCTCCGAAGAGGCCAGACAGAAGTAAAAAATTAGAAGCCCAACACCGACAGACACAGAGTAGTCTGAATCGAGTTACACGGGGCAAGCCCGCGCACCGCAAAGTGCACTCAAGGAAGGCACGCGCCGCCGCCCAATCCCGTCCCATCCGTGTTCCCGCCGCGAGCCCAAGTCGACACCACCGGCGCAGTCCGCAAAGGACTTGCACAGCATGCCAGGCAGGTTGCGTCTCGGCCCCCCATCCGCGCCAACTCGGACACCACCGACGCAGTAATACCGCCGTCTGCAACCCAGCGTGCTGTGCTGTGCATACGGGCCGCGACCGGACAAGCTACCACGTAACTGCACACGAGGTAAACAGCACGGGCGCCAATGTCGGCGCGTCAGAGCGACGACGGGCCGAGAGCACCTCCTCCCCTCTGCACCGCGCGAGCGCAGAGTACGTCTGGCCGTCTTCCGGGCGCAGAACAGACGCCAGATGTGACGCCCAGGTAGCTGCACCCGGATCCACGTGCGTGCGCGCGAAGCAGCAGTGTGGCCTGGGCCGACGAAGGACGGATCCACGGGAAGACAGGGCAACGGATGGTCGAGATGAGGACATGCGCGCCTCCCGGTCCCACGACGCAGGTTTCAAGCCTATGCCTCCACGCCCTCGCGGCGCCCGAGGGGCCGGTCGTCGGGCAGATGTGTGAGCGGCTGGGCGGATTTCTGGTACGTCGTTCGCCCGGGTTAGAGGCGGGTCCTTCTGGGACCGTTCGAGGGGACTAGAACGCTCAGACCTTCCCGCTCGTGAGAGGACAGCAGATGCGCGAGCATCGCTGCCTGTGCGGGACGAGCATCGCGGTTTTGCGTCTGTCGGGGTATAAAGAGAGGGTGTAAACACGGCGGGACAAAGGTGATCACGCATTGGCCATGACGCGATCACGTGCTACTGTGTAGGTGATTTCGTCGATGACTTGCAATTCAATTGTAAACGATACGCGTCATTGCATGCCTGCATAAAACATGAGCAGGCAACAGGGTCACACGCCTGATCCACGACTTGTGACGCGTGGAAAATGCTCGCGTTCGATGCTTTTCCTGAATACACCAATTTGTGAATACTACATGTAGCAACATACATCCCCAGGAAACACCAGAGAATTCTACATCCATCATAAAACCGCAATCGACAGAAATTCCCGGAATGAAAAGAGATCTAGGTCTTGGTTCGTTCGTTTCGTATGAACCAACCATTTCAGAAGTCCCAACCCGAAATTGTTGCGCGTAGATTTTGATCAGGCCTGCCCCACAGCCCCAAAACCATCGCGCTCGACGGGAAATTGATGTTCGTTGCCCGCCGTCTCTAATGGGCGGGTGCTATTCTCCTGCGCAAAGCGACGAGACTTCTCCAACTTGAGGAGACGATGTTTCTTCCGGTCGAAGACCACGGACATGAGAAACAGGAACGCCCCAGCGAGGCCCGTGATCTAGAGGCTCGTCAGAAATACAGTTCTTGCCAAGTAAAGAAGCGGACTTGCCCCACTGAACACAGCAGGCTTCCACCACTGGTATGCCGCCAGTGTTGACCCAAGAAGGGCTCCGTTGATGGGAGGACCTAAATGCATCGCGATAGTTCATTCTAGATATTCTGAACCTGTCAGCTGTATCACACACCGACGAGTTCCGCAATGCCCTCGATCGAAAAGGACACACCCATCCTCAATCTGTGCGCATGGTCATTCCAGGGGGAGAATCATGAAACCGACATGGCCGTACCCAACTTCGGCTGGATCATCTGTCAGATATGCCAGCATTGGCGGCAGGAGCGCGTTCACTGGCGTGTGCATCGCATCAGTAAGAAACGTGCCGCAAGATAGTTTCGGTACCGAGACGGACTCACCGACCCCGGCAAAGAACCCATCGACGATCGAGATCATCACCACGCTCACCACGGTCTTTAGCGAGATCATGCCGAAAATGAGAACCGATCCCATGAACGCGGAGAACGTCACGATCTCAAGAATGCCGATCCAACTCGCGAGCGGACCGGCAGCGAGACGGCCGACGGACGCGGCCCCATTGAAGATCACGAGCTGGAGAGAATGCCGTGAATGCCTGGGACACTTGAAGACGAGAACGAGACCCACGGCGTAGAACGCAAAGTTTTGGCTCATTCCATGCGTGACGGCGTCGAGCTGGATAAAGAACAGCGGATACCAGAATGCGACGCTGAATAGCGGCATCCTGCGAGTCACAAGCGCGACTGAGCAAACATAGATCGGCCGATCGACGGGGAAACTCACGCGATGGTCGCACAGACATACCCCCAATCCCTCCTCATCCGCCCGATGAAGATCGGGACATTACCCGCCTCGGGCATCGCCTTCAGCCGCGGCTGCACAAGCGCACACGCGACGAGCAGCAGGAACGTGTTGATCCCCGCGCTGATGCGGACCGAGTTGGCGAAGCCCAGCGAGGTGTGCAGCGTGTTGTTGAGCAGAATCGGGTGTGCGAGCGCACCGAGGGGCGATCCGACGGCTACGAGGGCCATCACCAGCGCCTGCTTCCGCTGGAAGTAGTGCGAGATCACGGCCACGGACGGGATGTACGCGATCCCCACCCCCAGGCCGTTCAACACTCCTTGCGTCAAAAATATCTGCGGACGAGGAAAGGAACAGTTGCATTCGCACAACTCAAACGGGGTGATCCTTCACAACCGCACCTGATACAGCTGCTGCTTCTGACACACAGAAAGCAAAAAGATGCTGACGGCTTGCAGCGCGCATCCAGAGTAGATCAACAAACGACTGATTAGCGGACAATAATCAGAGACAGAGCCTTGCGTCGTGCGAAAGCAATCGCGAAACTCACAAATGACCGCGATCGTATAACGGGCCCGCGAGCAATCCCGAAGCGACGCCCAGGAAGCCATTCATACTCCCGATCCACCTGCATCGAAATCAAAGCGCAGTCCGGACTCTGAGAAGGTAAGGGGCGAACGAGATGGCCGACGCGGAAGATTCGGAAAGGTAATCTCGGACGTAAAAATCTGCAGATCGATGAACGCCACGTCCAGTGCGAATCGCGAGGAGAAGGACAAGCGAGTACCTTGGAACACACCAAACGCGGTGGAGTATCTACACAGAGGAAAAGGATGGCGGTGAGAACCGGCGAAGTGAAGAGGCAGTAATGTCCCAGTCACCCGAAGCCGCAGAACTGGATGATGAACCTAGATCGAGGAGCGGCACTGAGTGTCCTGGAAGACAGTTACACTGAAATCACGTACACCCCGAACACAGTGGCCCAGGCTTGCATTCCGCCCTCCGGAAATGCGACCATCTCGCGCTCAGACGCCGCACCTCCCTTGGACTCTGCCATGCCTTGCTTTTCGTCTGCATGTGCCGGTGCCGCCATCGCCGTGAAGCCAACACGGTGAGAGAGTAAAGAGAGAAAGAGAGAGAGGAGGAGGATCCCTTGCCTCTGAATCTGACTCACCTCTGTGAAGAAATACTCTCCGTGCGTTTCCCCGCATGGAATCCGGATCATCAGCTCTCGACGGAGATCCGTAATGTGTCAGCCCAGGGTGAAGATTGAAGCTCGCATCACAGAGAAGCGTTGCAGGGCGTCCACCGGCGCGCAAGAACCACACATATGAAATGTTATGCGAGGCAGACAAGACAGTGCTGGTGCCACGATGTGAGGTCCAAGTGTTGGCGGCAGATTCGAGCCGCCACTCGGAGAACGCCGGAACGATCACGCGTTTCTGAACGCGGACACGTGATCCGTCTTCCATGACGCGTCGGCATGTACCAAAACTCCGGAGACTTGGTCGCTAGGCGCCTACTGTAACATGGAGGGGAGATATTGAGCTGAGCTTGACATGGAATAAATCAAGTGCCTGTAGATCTAGGGTGGAAAGAAAAAGAGAGATCAGTCATCCCACGAGATGAACTTCTTGAGTGTGCACAGACTGCGACGATTACAGTATAAGAGGCAGAAATGGATTGATCGATCGATGCCCGGTGTTCAGCGGCCACAAAGAGTCAAGATAATTATTATAAAAGTTGTAGACACCAAGCAGATACCGTGAAGATATGAAATACCAAGTATGAGTAGGATTATAGAGGCTCTAGTCATTATACAAGAAATCTTGCAACTTGATCGAAAGTGTCACGTATCGGGAGAAGTGGATGTCACACATCCTGCTCTTGATCTACATCGTCGTCGTCGTCGTCGTCGTCGTCTGCCTCTTCCTCAAGGCGTGGAAGCAGTGGCTTTCGAGGGAGCTTGGGTTTAGGTGGTAAGTCCTTCTTTCGAGCCCCTGTTTTGACCAATTCCGCGCATTCCCGGTCCCACATGGCCACGTCACTGGCATGGTCTGCTTTCATCTTGACCCACTGCTCGTCCAGAGCAGCTTTGGCAGCCTTTCTGTCGCTCCTGGCCGTCTTCCTTCTCAACTTCTCTGCATCTCTTGTCTCCTTTTCTTTGTTTATCCGTTGTACCTCACTGAAGAACTCATCAGATGACAGGCACTGTGCTTGGCCCTTGAACAGACGAGCCCGTTCATTTGTTGCGCGCTCTTCCTGTTGGTGAAGGGCCTCATTAGTCTTCTTCAGGGTGATGTTTTGTAGGACCATTGTCGCATTGGCTTGGCCGAGCATGTGATCTTTGATGACAGACTGTGCTTGCGCACGCTTCAGGTGCTCTTTCAGCTCTTCATTTTCTGCCTCCAGCTGACTTCTTGTCTTCCAGCTCTCTTTGCTTGAACCCGGCATGGCGAGGTTCCAATTTGGAGCTGGCAACTTCGACGGCATCGACTGGATAACAGGACTGCGGATTGGGTTTGTGCGAGATGTGATTTTTGGCGTGCTGAGCAGCAAGGATCCTGCCGAGGTCGAACCAAGGTGTGCGTACAACGTTCGCATCTTCTTTGATGGTGTCCACGGGTCCAGGTCTTTGTTTTCGGGCTCATTCCATGGACGGCGTGTTGGTGTGGATGGTGGAGACAGCTCGAGCAAGTCCGAGGACCTCTCAAGACGGGTAGGGTGATGGAGTGCCATGGCCTGGGTGATTCTGCGGACTGGGCTGGGCTGGAGCATCGGAAACTCGCCGCAGGTTGAGGTAGCTTGGCTGGGAGCCAACTGTTCTGCCGACACAAAGTTTGGATTGAAAGGTACGACACCGGTTACCCTGAACGCAGCCTGGACTGTCTTCTCATCGAATGCAGCCTTGTATGCGGGTGACCATACTGTCAAGAACTCAGCCTTTGTTACGTCCCTTTTCATCCTTGCCTCGAACGCAGCGATCTCCCGCTTCCAACACTCTTTCATCTTTGAGAAACACACAACGTCTAAGCCCTGAAGAGCGTGTGTGCAATGCGGAGGATAGCCGAGAAGGATGATATTGTTCTTGCGAGCGAAATCGAGGAACTTCTCGCTGTAATGTGAGCTGTGCCCTGTCATAGTTCGACCACTTTTTCATCTTATCATCGACGATCTTATCTTATCTTGGCACGACTTATCCTATCACGGATCACGGCATCAGACGGTCCGGGCTAGGGGTTCCAGGGGTTATCTCTATCGATTCGAGGCTGTGCGACATATGCTCCGGAAGGTTCTACTACAACCCATGACCAGCGTTCCATGCGGTACATAGTCTTATGACTCATTAGTTGTAGATATGACTCAGACTGGATTTGGGTATAAATACTGTAGCTACCTGGTTGTATTCTCCAGTCTTCGAATTCACTTCTCTTTTCGACTTTGTTTTTGGGTTGATTGTCACATAATTCGAAGACTCCCCTCATACCCTCGTACCTCCTACCTCCTACCCTGCTCCCTGCACCGCTACGCCCGCTATATCCTCTTCACCCTTATCACCCCACTCACCCTTTTACCGAATCATCTAGTCGCTCGCTGCGATCGCAGTGAAAGGTTCATATCGAGCAAACAGCACCAGGCCACGGGTAACGTTGAGCCCGACCCAAGCCTTACGGTAGCTACAAGGAGTGCTGCGGAGACCTTCAGGAAAACGCACCTCGGGATCATCGGGCACGTGAAGAGCTAGGCCCGGGATCTTTTTGCTAGCAAAAGAACCTTTCCTCGAGTGCTTGTACAGCACACGAATCCACCATTTCGTACCAATTCCCATCGTCATCTGGGAGTCCATCCCCTCCCCCCATCATACCATCGTCGCCCGATCTGGCGCATCAAAACCAACCCGGGCCCTCCAACCCCTACCTCGCCCTTCCGCCGCCTGAAGACGAGTTCCCCGACCTTGGCGAGTTACCCTCCGAACAACCACCCTCGCCCCCACCTACCGCACCTGCTCCTACCATGTCAGGACATCACCGCATCACCCTCGCCGCCAACCCCCCTACTTCGATGGCGACAAGTCCAAGTACCTGGGCTTTGTGGATGCGTGCACCACTTACATCGGTGCCTATCGGTCAGAGTTCTCGCTGGACGAGACGAAAATCCTCTTCGTCCTGTCCTACCTCCGCAATGAGAGCGGCACAAGCTGCGCCGCCTCAAGATGGGCGATGAACTGGAAGCAGCACAATTTCGAGGGCTTCCAAGGACTAAAGGCGGGAGTCACCGCGACAAGCTTCTTGGAGGAGCTTCAGAGGGCCTTTGGGGATTCTAACGCAGAGCAAGTCGCTGCCGCCCGACTCATGGCCCTTCGCCAGGGCAGACGGTCCTTTGCGGACTACATCTCCGACTTCGAAATGCTGGCTGCAGACGCGGGGTACAACGTGGTCACCTCCACCGACAGCAAGGGCGAGTACAAGAAGGGGGAACAGGACAATATCCTCATCGAGTTCCTGGAGCGCGGACTCAGCAGCGAAATTGCAAGCCGCCTCTACAACACTGGCGTCCCCCTGCCCAAGGCATATGGTGCCTTCAAGAATTGGTGTGTCAACATCGAGGCGAACGCTCTACGCGATCAGCTGCGCAAAGCATCACATGCGCAATCCGCACCACGACCGCCTCCCCAATTCCGCCCGCAGGTAGCCCCAATGACACCTGCACCCGCCCCGGCCCGACCCGCTGCCAACGAACCAGTTCCGATGGAAATTGATCGCACCCACGCCCGCGGCCGCAATATCATCTGCTACAACTGTCAGCAGCCTGGGCACATTGCGCGGAACTGTCCGGAGCCAAGGAAGAAGCGCACATTCTTCAATCGGGCCATGATGCTGGAAGAAATCGAGAACGGGGACAAGGACAACGAGTTCCTCAAGGAGATTGCTGAGAAGCTGCGCGAGAAGGGTTTTTGAAGCGCTCCACTCCTCTAGCCAAGGAGGTGGAGTGTCCGGACTATGGACATTTTTCTATACTTGTTTCGATTAAAGATATGAACGATTCTCCTCATGCATACACGATCTCAGACTCCCTACGTACTAATATTCATGATTTTCTTGTCTCTGATATGGAAAAGGAACGTCAAAAGAAAATAGCTTTAAATAGAGAGTATTTACAGAGTAAAAAGGATCAGAAAGCTGCGGATAAATTAATTTTGGACTCCTACGTATTTATGGCTCGTGGAGAAGGAACCACGTCAACAAAGACCGAAAAGGGGAGCATCGCTCCGGAGGCTCAATCCTTGGAAAAGGAGGAAGCGCCCAAGGAAACTGCCAAAATCAGGGTTCCAGAAGCACCCAAACGCACGAGGGTGCCAGATGCCGTTCAAAGGAAATGGGCAGCCGAGAGACAGAAGGGCCCGCAACCCAGCAGACTGGCGCAGGAACTGCGCAACTACCAGGCCGAAAGGAAGAGACATTCGATGGATGTGTATGTCCAGATCACGGGCCTGGACTCAGGAAAGACGCGCGGAGTCAAGGCGCTACTCGATAGTGGCTGTAGCACCTGCTGCATTGATACCGACTACGCACGGGCAGAGAAGCTGGATATCCAAGAACTTCCCCAACCCATTGTGGCTTGTAACGCCGACAACACCGAGAACGTCAGCGGTCGGATCACGCATTACGTCGACCTAAGGATGAGAATCGGTCCTCATGTGGAGACACGCACGTTCCTTCTGACGTGTTTAGGGAAAGCTCGGATCTTCATCGGTCTTGATTGGCTGACGGAACACAACCCTGAGGTGGATTGGCAGGAGCAGACGATGAGGTTCAGTCGATGCCCAGAGCGGTGTCACATGAGGGGTCACGAGGAGCATCAAGCAATGATCGACATGGATGCAACTGACCTGGACGCAGGTGCACCGGATCTGGAAGAGGGGGAGTCGATCCTGTTGATCGAATTTGGGAAGGAGGTGGATCTATGGTTGAAGGAAACGCCGGCGCAGAAATTCGCAGAAGAAGCGGAAAAAGAGAAGGAGAGAATGACCGAGGGGAAGATTCCGGATCAATATTGGGAATTTGTCAAAGTATTCGCCAAGGAATCGTTCGACTCGCTGCCAGACCGACGGGCATGGGACCATGCAATCGAGCTCAAACCTGGTTCCAAAGCAGTGGACTGCAAGGTGTACCCGTTATCACGAAACGAACAGGTCAAACTCGACGAGTTCTTACAAGAGAACCTGGCCAGCGGTCGGATCAGGCCTTCCAAATCACCCATGGCATCAGCGTTCTTCTTTGTCAAGAAGAAGGATGGCTCGCTACGCCCCGTCCAAGATTATCGGAAGCTGAACGAAATGACAATCCGAAATCGGTACCCGCTGCCGCTGATCTCCGAACTGGTCCATAATCTATGCGGTGCAAAGTTCTTCACCAAGCTCGACATCCGGTGGGGATACAACAACGTACGGATCAAAGAGGGCGACGAGTGGAAGGCTGCGTTCCGCACGAACCGCGGACTGTATGAGCCCTTGGTCATGTTCTTCGGTCTCACAAACTCCCCGGCAACCTTCCAAAACATGATGAATGACATACTCCGAGAACTGATCAACGAGGGCCACGTGGTAGTCTATCTTGATGATATACTGATCTTCACAGAGAACTTGGACGAGCATCGGCGGATCACGAAACGAGTACTCGAACTGCTCCAAAAACACAAGCTGTACCTGAAACCCGAAAAGTGCGAGTTCGAACGCACGGAAATCGAATATTTGGGTGTGATTATTGGACACAATTCGATGCGGATGGACCCAGTCAAGATCAAGGGCGTGATGGAATGGCCAGAACCAAAGAGCGTCAAACAAGTACAAGCCTTCCTAGGGTTCACCAACTTCTATCAACGCTTTGTTCGGGGATATGCGGAAATTGCCAAACCATTGACACGGCTGACGGGGAAGGCAGGATGGTCATGGGGTACAGAGGAACATGCGGCATTCAATGGATTGAAGAAGAGAATCGCGGAGGATGCGGTCCTAGCACTGCCAAATGACACTGGCCAATATCGTCTGGAAGCCGATGCTTCGGAAGGGCCAACAGGAGCAGTTTTGAGCCAAAACCAAGACGGCATTTGGCGCCCAATCGCATTTATTTCACACGCATTGACCAAAACCGAGCGAAATTACGAGATCTACGACAAGGAAATGCTTGCGATCATGTTATCACTCGATGAATGGAGGCAGCTGCTCCTGGGAGCCACGGAAACATTCGAGATCTTCACTGATCATCAGAATCTCGAGTACTTCCGAAAGCCGCAGAAGCTCAATCGACGGCAAGCACGATGGATCACGGAGCTGGTGGAGTTTGATTTCACCTTACGACACCGACCCGGCGCACTCAACCGCAAGGTGGATCTCCTGTCTCGACGAGCAGATCACGATCAGGGCAAGAACGACAACAAGGACGTCACGCTACTGAAGCCCGAGTTCTTCCGATCACAAGAAGTCACATTCGAGGGACAGGATCAGCAGCTAATCGATGAAATCAAGGCCATTTGATCAATTGATGGAAGCGTCAAGGCGGCCTTGGAGAAGTCACTCGTCGGATGGAAGAAGGAAGAGGGGCTTATCACATATCATGGGAAGCTCTATGTACCAAGAGACGAGGAGTTACGGGACAAGATCATCGGATTACACCACGACACCCCGTTGGTCGGACACGCTGGGATCAACCGAACGCAGGAGATGGTGGAAAGAAACTACTGGTGGCCCAGGATGGGAAACCAAATTCGGAAATACATCCAGACGTGCGAGGCGTGCCAACGGACCAAGACCAGGAGAGCGAGGACAGGGACTCTACACCCGCATGCAGTTCCAAATGCGCCGTGGGAAATCATCTCGATGGATCAAATTGGACCCTTGCCGGTCAGTAACGGGTATGATGCAATCCATGTGTGGTGTGACACCTTCACCAAAATGATCCATGTCGAACCAATTAGTACTGACATCAGCAGTGAAGGAGTCGCACGGCTAACCAGGGACCGAGTCTTCCGCTACCATGGGATCCCTCTGTAAGGGCAACCTCGAGGCCCGATCTCAGAGTCCTGACAAGGGAGAGTCCAAAGCGTCAGATAAAGGGATTGACTAGTACAGGAGACTGGCAAACCTGACAAGGGAGAGTCCAAAGAGAAACCGAGTTGGGGACTCTCCTTGTCAGGGCCCACTATATATAGCCTACAGAACAATGGATGATGAAGCACAATGGAAGCGCCAGACAATGGGGCCAGGGAACAATGAGGGGCCGGATCGGGGGGAACAATGGGAGCCGGACCGTCGGAACAATGGGGGTGCGGGCCGGAGTGTCATGTGGACGCGCTTGGCAGGGAAGTCCGGACCGAAGCATGTGACGCTTGACAGATGGCGCGTGCGCGGTCACATGCGAGATCCCATGATGATCGGACGAAAGCAGGGGTTCCCCTGACATCACCCCCCCTCTTGATTGCGGCGCCTCGACGCAAGGCACGGTTGGGGGTTGACGAGTCCCTGAAGGGCAGCGAGTCAAATACGGCCGCTGCGATGACACGTGGCTTCCCAGGGTATCTGCGGTAAAATGCTGCCACTGCGTCGTCAGCAAACACATCTGAGTGCTTGACCCACTGGTCATGAGATGGGTCATAGCCCTTCCATCGCACTCGGAACCAGACACTCCGGTATCGCATCTTTGCGTCTAGGATCTCCTCCACTTCCCACTCCTCTCCTTCGCCTTGTCCTAGGACAGGGGGTGGTTCTTCGTGACGCGGGCGAGTGGGGAACAGGTCGTCTTCGGCCAACTGGAGCTTGACCACGGGGAAGACAGGGTGGAGGCGAGAGAGGCTAGTGGGGAGGGCAAGCTTGTATGCGCCTTCACCACCACCTGGGGCCCTTCTTAAGACGGGCTTCAGATTAGAGACAAACCCGTCTTAAGACGGCTCTCTGACTAGAGGCCAGATTTGGCCCATAGATTTCCTATCATTTCCACAGTATCCCGTCATGAGAGAATAAGATCGCCATCAACCACGTTGCCCAGCGCTTCTCCTCGCTGTCTGCAACGACGACCGCGAACCCTGAAGGCAAGGCGTGTGATACAATCAAAATTCATCATTATCATCACCGCTGGCTCATCGGCTGTGCGGCAAGGCATTTTCGTCATACGCCAACCCTAACCCTATCGCAGGTGACAGGTCCCAAGCTTCGCCTCCATTTACCATCGCATTATGGGATATACGTATAGTATGTGTATGTAGCGAATGTAATCCAAACGCGAGCCCAACAAATGAGTCTGCATGTCCGAATGGTAGAAATGTATGTGCGTGTGTCCGAATGGTAAAGGTACTAGATTCCACCCTCCGCCAAAGCCGCAGCAGCCCGTTGTGAGTCCTCCGCAAACTGAGGAACGGGATCATCCTCCTCCAATTCCCCTTCGCCTTCTGCCTCCTCTAACACTGTCCGCAAGCATTCAGGTGTGATCTTCTGGCGCGCTAAAGCGATCCAATCTGGCACGTCCTTCCACATCTCCGCGAAACGTTCCTGGAGCTTGGCGCGAAGGACAGACTGCGTGTAAGCATATGAAAGCAATCCTTCGCGCTGGATGCTGTTCGACGATGCCGGTACTCCTGCGGCAAGATCGGCCCACCAATTCGCCTGCCACCCCAGAAACTCGATAACCCGGCGCATCTCCTCCTCCACAAGCTCGACCTCCTCGATGTGACGACATGCACGCGCCCGAGCCCTTGCCCATTCCACCTTCAAAGACTCCACCATTCCATCACCCTCGTCCTCATTTCCAATCTGGACTCTCCAGATCCAAGACGCAGGGCGCTTATCGTTCCGCTCCGTCTCGTTGAGGTCGGCATTGCGCTTGCGCTTCTTTGACTTCCGTCGTTCGGGATCGGCATAAGTGGCTCGAGGGCGTCCGCGGATGTCGTCGGCCAATAGAGGACGAAGGCGCATAGCCCAACTCTTCTCCTTCAATCGAGGGCCAAGCACTGATAGGGCATTATGGGCTGCCCGATACTGAGCGGCTACGCGTCGAATCCGAGCTTCTGTATTCTGGATTGATGTGTTGGACTTGGTGTTTTCGGCGATGCCCCGCGCATTAACGTTCTTGTATCGGAATTGGTGGGTGCGAACCAGGAGGAGACGTCGAAGCTCCGCGAGAGCCTTGTCTGCTTGACCCACACGGATCTCGAACTCGTACCGCATGAAGGATTCGGGAACAACGGTCGCAGCGAGTTGGCTCAGTGGATCCTTGCAATTGAGCAGGCGCGATGGAAGGTGAAGACGTAGTTCATGAACGGGAATCACTGGCACTGGGGCTGTGCCAGCTGCAGAGATACGCTCTTGCTCTTCCATAGCGCGCCAACCCGCGAGCGAGGGCAAGAATGACTCCATCATTGTCGTCCATCCGGCAACCTTCCTCCGGAGCTTGTTGCTTCGTTCATGTAACACCGCTCGCTGTCTGTCTGTGGGATGTCGTCCAAGTGCAGTGAAGTCCGCTGCAAGATTCCGCTGCTCCTGCTCAATCTGCAGTGCTAGGACGATGACTGAGAGGATGTGTCGATTCCCGCTGATGTTGGCCCCAGTTCCGGCTACAACCTCCTTCGCAACCGACTCGGCCAGGCGTCCTCGAATAGCATAGACGCTCTCTTGCCCCTTGGGTAGGGCAAACGGGTTCGGTTTCTTCGTATCGAGTTCCCATGCAGTCATCTCAGCCAACCACGCGGACAGATCATCAGCGTGTATTCCAGCTTCCGATCTTGTCAATTCCACTTGGAACTCCACCATCCCCTTGATTCCCCGCGTCATCTTCTCCAACAAGGTGGTGCCCGTCCCGAGGACCTTCTTGTGATTCCAGTCGTTGAAATGGTCGTCGATGGTGTCTCGCCTTGCTCCTGGCCCCATTTCCTTTGTGCTTGTGGCCAACGGGTTTGCGTTTGCCCACCCACGCTCCGGGGCTTCTCCATCCGTGAGACCGACAAGTGGCGTGAGATTGAAGGAGTATAGAACGTTGCACTCCTCGATATGAGCGGGAAGATGGAACTTGGGTATCAGCCACTTGTAGCGTCGATGAAAACCTGCGTCCTGCAGGTTCTTTGTGTAGAGTGCCAGCCGATTCCAAACATTCTTGTGCCACTGGCAAGCAATGTCATACGAGACGACGATGTCCCGCAATGGCCGGTAGTCCTCGAGACCCTTCCATAATATGAAGTCCATATTGATGTATCTGGCACTTCGCATGAGTGACTGAATCAGTATTGCGAGTATGGGAAAACGCACCTTTCTCCCTTCTGCAGATCACCCACAGACAGAGGCCGCTTCATGTTATGCCGAGCACAATCAACGGTTCCAATGCCTGAAGATGCCGTGCCTCGGACTTCTCGATCTGGGTCATCCACTGCGTTGTGGCCGACACATGTGCTCTTCTGTGAGGCACGATCAGTACAGTAGCAGGCAACAAACAAGTCCACTGACCTCCTGCTCAATGTCCCAGAACTTCTTGACGTGCGTCATGTACTCGACCAATGGTGGATAGAACGCGATGCCATTGCCCAGCGCCGGATCCTTCGTTTCGGAAGACACGATCTTCCTCTTCATCCTGAAGTTCGCGTCGATGGCCATGAAAAGGGCATACAGATGCCGCTTCTCCCTAGGCAGGGCATCCGAGCACCATGCTCCCATCAGAGGCAGATTCTTGCCTGGCTGCGGACATGCGGGGCAAAGAACGGCGCAAGATCCAGGAGCAGTCGCTGCGACGGGCTTGCCACTATGTCCGACCCCTGCTCTCTTCAGCATCTGCAGATGCTTCCACTGACGCGCCATCCGACGAAAGGCCTCGTATCGGTCCTGAGACATTGATTGAGTGACAAACGTGGTCAGGAAACAAGTCACGCACCCGTGGCTGAAATGTCCCCGTGTTATCCGTCTCGCGAGCCAAGCTGTTGTAGAAATGGTATGCCGAACACTTGGCTTCCAGGGATAGCAGGTGGAACTTGCGGAGGACGCGGAATGTGGCCGCGGAGGTGGGTTGAGACGTCGTGGCGGGGTAGAGTTGCGCGCGAAGGAGTTGGATAACATGGTCTTCCTGCTGATGGCAAGAGCAGAAGTCAAGGGCCACCTCATGTACCCCGTTGATATCGACGATACAGAAGTTTTCGCGGGTCTTCTTCTTCATAGTCGTCCCATCCAGCCCATGCGTTTCCTCTGCCTGTTGCGCTGCGGCCAGCTTTGTTGTCGTCCCACGACAGGTACTTTGGCGACCATGCCCGAGCTGGATGCGCAGACCCAGCGCCTTGAGCGTGACATTCTCGAAGTAGAAACCGTTCCAGTTCTGTTCAAACGTAAGATATTGAGTTGGAGTATAACAAGTGACATACCTCAGGACGGTGCAGAGGGTTATCCTTGTGCTGGGAAACAAGGCATTCACGACATAGCAGACAGTCCGTGAAACAGTCTCGGCAGCGAAACGTCGCTATCCCTCCACCCTGGTCACACACCGGACAGACTGTCTGATTCACGTAATCTCCCCTTCCCTTCAGCCGCAGCATCTCTTGGAGATATAGGTCGCGGTATGATTGCCTCCATACGCGCATTGGATCATCCTGTTCCGCATGAGAACGACTCGATTTGCGCAAACGTCGACATACCGAATCCCACGTCTGCCCTTTCTGGCGCCCCTTCTTTGCACCTGGATTGCTGTCCGCCTTCGGATCCTCGTCCTCTGACGCCTCTGCGGTTGGATGTCCCACATCAAAGTCGAACTCTGCTTCGGCAGCAAAAGGGAAGGCCAAAGCTTCAGCGTCCGTGGTGTCGACCGTGGGCGCCACACCACCCGGAACGGTGCTGGTATCAGCGCGTGTTGGCTTGGTTGGCGAGGCGGGGACTGCGAATTCCGACTGCCTAACGTGGAATCCACCCTGCTCGTCCGAATGGCTGGCGACGTGGACAACCTTCTCCATGGGCACAGAGGGCTTCTCAGTGTCGGAATCACTGCTATCCACGTCGACCCGCATCCGCTGACGGATCTTCTTGGCCATGATAGAGGAATGGGGCCAACCGCGCAAACAGAAGGTGGAGGATAAGCCAAGACATGATTGAGTCACATGTGACTCATGCCCTTGTCCGTCTTAAGACGGCTTCTCTAATCTCAGACGTGCATCCGTCTCAAGACGACGCTCATCCGTCTCAAGACAACGCTCACCCGTCTCAAGACAGACTATCGACACCATGTGGTCCGTGCGCTCTTTCCTCAGCAATCTTTTTTACTGATGATTATTGACTGTAACCTCAGCTTCCCTCCACCCAAGCTCGATGTTTGGCGCCCTCTCTGATGAGCTCCTCTCCCGTGTCATTAAGGATTCAGATCCTTCAATGCTCCCCACGTACTGCCTGCTGTCCATGAGAGCAAAGCGTGTCTCACAGCCTCTACTCTTTCGTCGCATTCGACTTCCGGCAAGCCAGGCGTTAGTCCTCTCGAGTGTATGCTCACAGAAGCCGGCATTGGGACGCATGGTGCGTCCATTGAGCCAGTTCCGTACTTCTACATCTAAGCCTTGACAAGGTCCATTCCCTCGCCGTTCATGAGGACGACAAATGCCAGTACCTCGATCATACCTTCGGCCGTGCTCTCCGTACTATGACACGGCTGGTGTACCTTGCTTTCCACTGCCAGGTAGACCTGTTGATGCTCCAGATGAGCATCCGGAGCACTCTCAACGCGTTCTGCTACCACAGGGCCATTGGGAAGGATGTGTTGTACAATATCGTCGCTCAGCAGCCCCGCATCTTGTGCCTGCGAGCAGCCCAGTGCCGCGATCCTTTCGCCACTTCCTCCCTCATGCCCAACCTCAAATCCATCCGGTTGCGACCGGAAGTTGCCCTCGACGCCGTTGCTGGTCGCCCCGTCAGTGTCGTCCGTCTCCAGTATGACAACGCGGAGCTCAATGACCCATCTCCCACGCCGTTCAACTTCCGCGGGCTGCAAGCGTCCACGGTTCCCATTGTCACTTTGGACATCCAGACCCTGCAACTCTTCTCAATCTCACGCACCATGCTCAAGGAGATTTTCCCGGCCCTACGCACACTTGGAGTGTTTGAGGATCAGGCATGGGGTCCCAGTGACCGATACGAGGCTCGTCCCACAACCCTCGCTCTTTGTACCTGACTCATTCCTCTCCCAGCTTGTCACCTATCGTTGCGCTATGTATCGACTCGCATATCAAGTTAGCCAACTACCCAGTCTGGTTCGCCTCTTGGCCGTATCCACCTTTCTTCCCGAGCGTGGTTACACTTTCTGGGAAGCGTTCAACGCTGCTTGTCGATCAGAATCCTTTAAATATCTTGTTTTTCATGCTGAGGTCGTTTGCATGTACTTCACATTTGATGGGACCGGTGATGCGGACTGCTGCCCCATTTGGGAGTGCCGTCACCTACTCTATGAATAGTCATCCCGATTTATCAGTACATATAATGATCATATCTTCCCGTCGTGCTAATCATGTCCATGCTTTTGCGAAGTCAAAGCCGCCCAAAAAGCCCGACGATCGTGTCACCTCCATCAAGAAGCCTCGTGCTAAGAACTTGGCATCAATGGAAGCGGATCTCCGTCGATCCTCCCGCATCAGCGCAAGGCCCATGGTTGTAACCCCCGAGCCCGGAAGTCATCCTTGTGAGCGATGAGTTCTCTTTGTGCGGCATCACACGCTGAGTATTGCCTCATTTGAAGGTTCAACTTGAGCTAGTTCCGAACAGCGTATATAAATAGGCACCGGCTATCCGACCCAGAACAAATAGAAGCACCGTTTGACAGATTCTGTTCTTGATAGATGAGATCTGAGATAACAACTGATTACACCAGATCAAGCCGTCCCCCACTCGGCCTATCTCTCTTTGGGCGCACAGTTGGGTACCTGACTATTTTGCGTGGGGGTACCATAGCAATTGAGAGCAAGTTGTCAGTTTGATCGACTGGTGTATCAAAGCCGTCTGATCAACTTCTCTAGTTTATCGTCTCTAACTTACTCCTTTGCCACAAGACATGCGTATCCAAAGCTCACAGACACTGGAGCTCAAGAGAGGTATGTTCTTTAATTTGATACCGTCTCAATCCCGAGCCTGTGGCGACCACAGAAGCGCTCGACGACCGTCGACTACCGACGGTCAAGCTGCTCAACTGGCTCAAACCCCACATGAGCACCCAGGCTCGGTCGGATCTTGCTCGAAACAAGCGATTGGCCAGTCTCCACCGACAGGTATGTCTATTCATGTACATTACACCGTCGCAGCCCTCATCTCTCTCCAGCAGAAACGCAAAGCTTCGAAGCCGCGACCAAAGCTGGTGTCAACAGCTATTCCTTGCTATTTCCCAATCCGTGACAACAAGACGATGGGTCTTCATCGCTTCACTATTCGCTGGGCGCAGCAACAAGAAGCCAAGGCGGCCGACAAGGAAAATCGTGTCTAGACTAGCTTCTATAGGCTTCTTAGTGCAATCATCAATCTGATCAGTGATTAGACTCCATGATAAAGCAATGGATCGCTTCGAAATCGGGTCTCATCCTTTCCCAGTCTCTCGATAATGTACTCTGAAATTCCCATGGACGTTGTGCTGGAGGTGGCAAAATTTGCTCAGCAGCAGGAACGAGCAGCTATGCGCTATCTCTGCGCAGCGATGCTTGCCCACCTCACCACGATCTTATTCTCCTTGATCCAGGTGAACTATTCGGCAAGACTGTTGGTCGATCTCCTCGCTGATCGCCCTGACCTTTGCCTCGCGGTTTGTGCATTCAATTTCTGGAGGATTTTCATTGATCTGACTTCCACAGGTACGGAGCCTCAGTTTTATCAGGGCTCCATTCAGGTACCCCGGCATCAATCCGACTCCGTTAGACGTGCAGACGGACAAGCTCTTGCGTTGTCTAACGCAGATGCACAACTTGGTGCACCTGGCTGTGTGCCCCGTTTATGTCTCCCTCCCACGCAATCATATCTGCATCATGCCCTCATTGCGGTCATTTGCATCCCACTCGTATATGTATTCCGAGTGGGCTCATTTCTTGGCGCAGAACTCGCAGGTTACCGCAATCAGTCTGCATGATGCCGTGGAAAAGGAGCTTATCAGGGTGAAACTTCCCCAGCTTCAGTGCTTGGCGTTGACGGCGTCTGCGTTCGGCGTGGTGGAGCGGCGTAATAACCCTCCCATGCTACGCCTCCTCACTTCACCTTCGCTGTTGGACCAGCCCAGAGCGTTCTATGACCACCTCTCTGCGCTCGGCCGCTCCTATTTCCCCCGCATTCTGCGTGCCGAAACGGAATATCTAGATCTGCTCATGGAAACGGTGCGGGATCCATCACATCATCAATCTCTGATCTAATCATTCAGGTAGTTGGATGATCCGCCCGTCAAGGACAACAAACGGGTCATGACTCGCTTTGGGATGCTTGCTGAGGTCTCGCACCTCATCATTGACAACGACTCGGGCTGTGAGGGTACTTGGTCTGTGCCTCGCTGGATCAGAGACTCCGATTCGGACGACTCTGACTCGAGTTCAGCGGAGTCTGTTCCTGAGGTGCGCTTCTTTGATGGCAACAAAACTCAATCTCTGACGGACGTCTTCAGCTCACCATCTTCTCTCGGTTGAACCAATATCAGTCTGTCATGCTTCCCAAGCTCGCCATCCTCCAGCTTGTTTCGTTGGACACGGCCCCCGAAAGCGCACAAGAAATCGTACCATTCCTGATGCGACTGCCGCTTACAAGTTTTCACTTTTGTGGGAAGGGTGGCTGTTTTGTCATCGACAACTGGTCTGCCCGGGGGATTGTAAGACTTAGCGGCTCGGAATCCCACAACTACTAGCGAAATGTGTTTGTGGAGTACAATAGAATTGATTGTATCATTGTCTACAACTTTCCACGTGCAAAATAAGTGGGCTCATGCTCGATGTCCACAAGGTCAGGAACGAAGAAGGAAGGGAGTCAGGACAGATTGTAATTGATGCTATCGGCCCGTCTTTGATTGACAGATGTGTGCGGCTGAGGAACAACTGAGGAACAACTGAGGAACAACTGAGGAACACAACTGATGATGGCATATATATTCCTGCAGTATCCACTCCCCTTGTCGCCTCCAGAGTCGATCAGTGTGGATGCGTGGTCTGAATGTTGGGTGCGGAGGATTCAGAGGCCAGAATGCGGCCAGAACTAACTGGCCGCATTCAGAAGAATACCGAAATATGTATGAACAAGCTACTTGTCGACCTGGATGTTCCGCTCCAGAATTCCAGACGGTTGTCCGGTGAACGCACTGAATCCAGTTAGATCATATGTGCGGAGAGATAGACGCACAATCCGACCGTCGTGACTGAATGCCAACAATTAAACGAGTCGGTAGATCGACGAGAGACCACTGTGAGCAGTGGGATCTTTACTTCAGCGCGAATGGGTTGGGATTGCAAGTCAGGGCCGACGTGAGTCAAGTCAGTCACGCGTGTAGTGGCAAGATACTATTGAAAATGTATCCTGCACTGGATACATAAGTAGCCCCGAAGACTTGCGTGTCTGAGTATTGAGAATCTCTGGTGAGAACCAGATATTTATACTGAACTATTTAGGACCCAGGCTGACGAAGAAAATACACCCAAGTTAGTGTTGAGAAAGGCGGATTGTATTTAACAATGTGTCCTAGCGCCGAGGCCATGGGCCTACAGGGATTGTGTTGTTCTGATGGGAACAATCTGAGGAACAATCTGAGGAACATCTAAGGAACAACTCGTGAGAACTCCTCGATTGGACTCAGTCCGCATCCGGGACAAAGGCAGGATGCCTGGTGACCTTATAGACTATAAGGTATAATGCCGGACAACGTTACAGACCATGAGCGCGTCTGTAAGGAATGCCGGGCTTGAGTTCGAGGAACAGGTTGCTTCAGCGAAACGTAGCATTACAAACGGCACATTCTATACTGTACTCAAATGAACTACGAGAAACTTTGAAACTAATCCACCTCATATTCGGCAGGATCAAACCACGGCCGGGGCCTGTGATTCAAAGAGATGTCGAGCTCAGGCAGAGGAGCTGCCGACTGGGGCCCATCTCGCATGAAGCCCTCCGTCAGTTGAAACTTCAACTTGCGTTGGAAGATCGGAACAGTAATTTCATGGCGTGGAATGGGAGTGGGTGTGGCTTTGGTTCTGAAGCATGTTGAGCCGGTGAGAAGTGTGAAGGCTTTGGAGATCGCAACCACGTACAGACGATCATATTCTTTGTCAGTCACACAACGTCCAGGATCAGGGCTCGCTAAATCAGCACCAGCTAAATGAGCAGTGCGCTGGGGAGGGAGTGGCGTAAGAACTGCAGCAAGCTGGGAATCCAAATCTGCACAATGCAGAGCATCATTGTCGTCGGCGTCTAATTCCAAGAAGGAACGGTGACCAGTCTCTGCGGCGTCTGAATCCAGATGGGTTTCAACCCAACTGGCATCCATGTTGTCTTCAGAGTCAGACAGCTCTGAGGACGGAGGAAGTGGTGAATACGGGACAACTTGAGGAGGCGGAATTGTCAAAGGTGTGGGTGAGCGAGGAATACTGGGTCCTCGGCTCCGAGTCAACGGCGTCTCGAGAGGAACAGCACTCATTTGCACAAGTCCCGCGTTTGTTGAGTCGGCATGGATATCTTGGTTCGTCTCTCCCTGACCTTCGGGTGGGGCAGGCAGGTCACAAGGGAGTCCCAGCCTGAGGTCATGATTATCAGATGAGCCACCAGTCCGAGCCGCTATGGGATCGGCAGGACATTGATCATTGGAACTTGCATCCTTGGCAAGCTTATTAGTCTTAGCAGCCTTTTGCGCCTGCCTAATGTGTTGTAAGAACGGTGCCAAACGGATGGAATTAGCTAAACAATACCGCTGAGCCGCCATTTGTGCCCGCTTCTTGATTCGGATGGTCTCGGCACTAAATGCAAGATGTTTCGTCAGGACCGGGGTATAAGGAAGTCGAACTGCAGACTTCTTAGCATAATACGTCGCAGAATGCTTCCGGGCTTGGGCGCGTTGTTCCTCAGATCTGGATGGTCGGAGAGGATCAGTGGGCGTGGCTGATCAATGACATTGCAGATTCACCGTGCAAGCTTCTTCTTTTTTGTACTCTTAGACCTCGGTGGGTCGTTACCAGTATTCAACATGAGCTTCGAGAGCAAGCTTGAGGTCCCTGATAATGTCATCACCTCTCATGATCGCCAATCAAGCACTCAAAATGAGCAGCGACAAGAGTCTAGAGATTCCATTCACGCAGAAGACTATACAGCAACAAGGATGATCTAAAGCTCAGTCGATATCTCACTGAGATCATCAGCCTCCGCCTGATCTACTTCGACCCACTTCTCGACCTTATCCGCTTGAAACTGCTGGCGGTAGTAGTCGAGAGCCACAGCCCGGTCACGAAAGCGCATTTTCTTCTGGCCGGGGACGTGATCGCAGAGCTCGTCAGCCTTTGTGCTGGAATTTGTCAGAGACGGAATGTGTGGCAAGATGAGACTTACTGGCTCAGATATACGCCCGGCTCGCGACCAACAACAACGACATAGAACAAATCGCCGGCATCAGCAGAAAGAAGATTCGCGACTTTGGCTGGAGACCGTGCAGGGAGCTTGATCCAACGGGGTCCGTCGATGGAGTCTTGAGAAGGGACTGCTCTGTCGACAGCCTCAGGCAGCTCGTCTGTGGACGAAAGTTGAGTACGTTGAGTTTGGCTTTGTATTCTAGAGCAGGACATACCAATGACTTGCCGTATCAGCTCCCCGGCGCGACTAGACCGCTCTATTGCTTGACGAGAAAGAGTGGCTGCAGCTTGCAGGAGCGTGATAAGCTCCTGCATCTTAGCATTCGGAGCAGGGCTTGTATCGGGATGGGAGGTAGACGCCATGCAGAGGATGGGAGGAATCTAGAGGGAAATAGTCTGAGATTCAATATTGATGGCGGATAAGAAATGACCGCATGAACAGATGCTTTGATCGCAGTTGACCCGTATGGTCAAAGATCGTCGCTGGAAGTATTGTCCACCCGGGTGGCTCGGTGCAACTAGGGGCGGTTTCAAATCTGATCATCTGGATTCACGCAACGCTAGATTGGGCAAAGTCAAATTTCCCTGTTTGGCAAGACATCAATATCGACGATTGGGGCCGAGTCCTCAGTCTTCGCCTCGTTTGTTCCTCCTGCACCTTGGTTCCTCCTACACCTCGCTTCCTCTCCATGACAAAATCTACCGGTGTCGGCCGTGGTCGCAAGAGCGGGCTGAATGCAGAACAACGCATCCATGCCCAGCAACATCTGTCGGAATTCCGCGCAGCGCAACTGACAGGGGGCGGAGGTGGCTACCGACGACAAGTTGTCAGAGAGTGGTTCGATGCTCATCCAGCGCACATTACCTTGGGAATCACCTTGCCTGCGGAGCCGGGCGCACCTGGAATAGAACCGTCCAAGCTGCCCAAGGAGCTTGATGATCGCATCGAGGCCGAAAAGGAGAAGGTCTCCGAGGTGGGTTACACACAGGCTGCCATATTGTTTCTGTCTCTGACAAAAATCCAGCAATTCCGCACCTGGTTTCGCAACCATAGCTCCAACGCCAAGAAGAAGGAGGAATCCACTGGGGGGAGGCAGATCATCAAATCCTCCGCAGTCGAACGAGCCATGTTAGCCAGAATCAAGCCTAGAGTTCGACGCAACACACGAGAGGAGTTGTGGGAAGCGTCGCAGTCGAGCAAGGACGTTCTCTCTGTTGCGCTGGATGCCGAGGGATGGGCAGACGAAGACTGTCCTGTGCAAGAGGAGGGGGAAACGGAGAAGGAGCATGCAGAGCGACTGAGCCAGTGGAGGGCAACGAGAATGGCCGTTCGGCGACGAGTCCGCACATCAGAGTTTGATGGATTGGAAGCGGTTGAGCGAGAGGCAATCGAAGAAGCGTATGAAAAGCAATCAAAAGCAAAGGACATTGGATCGCCCGAGCCAAAGACACCGGAGCAACTCCAATGGTGAGTCGTCTTCAAATGCATGAGGATTGTGACTGACGTCTGCTGCCAGGGGTATCGGGAAGCTCCCGTCTGTTGTCACCAAATCGCATGAGTTCATCGAGAACTTGACGGGGCTCGTTGGCGTGACGTTTCTGGTGGGGCCATCGCCCGAACATGGCGGCAAGATCACCACATACAGGTGCGCTGCAGAATCACTCATATGGCATTGCCATTCAACTTACGCAATGACAGTCACTGCCATGGTCAGACAAAGGGAGGCGTTGACTTTGAGCACTACGTCAAGGACTGGAAGAAGACATACCTGCATGTCTTGCGCGACTGGGGGAAGGAAGTCTTTGGTTTGTTGATTCTGCGATCATTAGCCAGCTGTAACTGAAAAAATGTCAGACCGCGACGAACGGCTGAGGAGGGCTCTGCAGACAGAGGAGAATGTTGCCACAACCCGGAATGTGGTCTCCGAGGCTCCTGCTGTGTCGCCTCCTGATGGCGGAAGCTGGGTCGATAGTGCGGCCACGGGAACCGAGGAGAAGCACAAGGCAAATAGGCGCAAGCAAAAAACGTTGACCGTATCCACCGCCTCATCGACAGCGACGCCGAATGCCACTGCCCTATCCAGCGCCTCGTTGACGCCCACCAACCCTCGTCCGTTACCTCGATCAGCATGGCATGGTGTCACCGGTGGTGGAGAGGACACGAGCCAGGAGGAGGAGGTGGTAGACGAGAACAACGAGGATCTTGAAGGGGTGGGATCGTTCTCACTGGGTATGACAGCAGACGATCCAGCATCCACAGTACGTGAATAGCTGCAGGCATGTTCATGCAACTGATAAGCCTTAGAACTTTGGCGAAAACTTTGAACGTGCTATGGCGGACATGTTCAGAGGCGATGCTGCTCCCAGCGACGCCGGTATGGTTGTCGGGCCTCCGCCTACCAAGCCCGCTGGTGTGGGCAAAGGGTTTTCTTTCCTGAGAGAGTTATACGGTGCGTGTGGCTACGTGACTTGATTTGCGAATACTAACAATGCACACAGGCACGTCCATGGATCCCCCAACCTTCAACCAACCACAACAGCAGGGGAGCATACCTTCCGCTACTTCCGCTGCTTCCGCTGGAGCGCAGGAGAAGCCTTGGTGGATGTACAACTTCTCAATGGCGCAGGGCTATGGAGGGCAGCCGGAGATTGACATGCAAGGAGGAAAGGGAACCAGCGAATCTTTCTTTGGAGATTGGCTTGACAGTGACGGACCTGTGACCACGCCTGTGGATGGCGAACCCATGGCCGTCGCTCCTGCCACTTCCGTTGTTCCTACGCCCTCTGTGCCTACGCCCTCGACTTCCGCAACGCTTCAGTCGTCCAATGCGGAACCCGTGGCCACCGCTGTGGATGTCGAACCCATGGCCGTCGTTCCTGCGCCCTCGACTTCCGCAATACCCGAGGCTTCCACTGCTACCATGTCCCTCGTTCCTGCGCCCTCCATGGCCATACCCGTTGTTCCTACGCCCTCTGTTCCTACGCCCTCGACTTCCGCAACGGTCAAGTCGTCCAATGCGGGACCCGTGGTCACCGCTGTGGATGTTGAACCCATGGCCGTCGCTCCTGCGCCAGCGACTCCCATACCGGTCTTTCCCCAACCGTCCACTGCTGTCATGCCCGTCAGTCCTGCGCCCGTAACTGTCGTTCCTGTACCTTCGGCTTGCCCCAATCCCATCCCCATTGTTCCTGCTGACGCTGCTGACGCTGCTGACGCTGCTGCCCTTCCTGTGCCTGCAACAGGCGCTACTTGGCCTCTGACGAGAGCGAAAGTGTCAAACACCTCGTGGAACCCACAGCCGTGGACGCAGTCGTCTCAGCCCTGGGTGCCAAGATCTGGAAGCGCCGTCAATCTTCCATGGAATCGGAGATTGCCAGGGCAAAGCAGTGGATCTTCGAATCCATTTGCTGGCGCCAGCTTTACATCAAGCTCGGCCGTGAAGCCCACAGGAAGCGGGGCCAAGAGCAGCAACAGCGACAGTTGTCCCGACCTTCCAAGGGAGTTTGGACTGCCCGAATCACGTCCGATGTCGAATCCACTGCGTGCAAAGAATGCGGCGTTGCTAGGGCTGAGTGGGAAGACATCCCAGAGTGGTATGGGCGCTCAGACACCGGGTCAGCCAAACCCAGAAGTGGAGATCGTTGTCGAGGAGGGAGGGTTGGTGAATCATATCAGTGTTGCTCTGCCGTGGTCAAAGGAGCGCCGGATGCGTGTTGAGAGGATAGATAAGGAGAAGCAGCGGGCGCAGGAGCAGCACGAGAAGAATGTCGCGCAGGGTATCTTTGTTGTGCCACCGCCGCCCAGTGCTGTTGTTCCAGGTCCAGAGACGCGCAAGGAGCCTGCAGCTCTGGGAGGGCGACGCAAGTCCAATACCACTGGCGGTGCCAAAGGCCCAAACAGAGCGACGAGTGCGGATGTTGCGCAAGCTGCGGAAGATCAGGTGCTGGAGCGCAGTCTTCGGACACGGACGAAGAATGAACGCGGCAAAGCTTTTGAGGACGAGATGAATCGACGTCGGAAGCGACATGGGGAGAACAAGGACAAGGAAAAGAGCGGCGAAGGGAGTACGAAGACATTGGACGGAAAGGGGAGGAAACGGGTGGCATCGACGGTGTTGGAGGGACGATCGGGGCCCAAGTCAGCCCCCAAGCGGTGAGTCCTACTTTGGTATATTGCCAGGGAAAGGTTCTGACGCATGTCTTACAGTGCCCGTCGCCGATAGGCTTACTGTCTAATGCACATTCGCTAACTAGTCCCGTCATTCTCGTTCAATATGTGACATTATGTATGTACTATGTCAGATGATATGCAGTCAATGCGAGGGAAATGCGTGGATGAAGGCAACTTGGGAAGTTGTATAGATGCCTGACTTGTGTGTTGGAACATCTTGAGCAAGTATTAAGTGAGAAAAGTGACCGTCTTAAGACGGAGAGCATCTGTCTCAAATCTGTCTTAAGACGGTCGGTATGATCTCCGTCTCAAAGAGAGATAAGAATCATGATCTCTGATCTGAGATCGATACGCCAGGAGACCGTCTCAAGACAGTGTCACTGTCTTGAAACGGAGTCATCAGAGAGAAAAGACAGTGTCTTGAAACGGAGAGTGTCCTCTAAGGCTGGCCTCGAGAGGGTGGGCTGATGACGTCAGGAAAGGATTTGATGACGTCAGGAAGGGACTTGTGCATTTGCTTTCGTGGCTGGTAGACTGTAGTGCTACTTGCATATTTATGGACTGCGGCGTGATATTGGATATAGTGAGAATTCAATATTCAGTACGTACATGACAAGCGCAAAGGCAAATTGTGATTCATGGATCTACAGTGGCAAATTGTGATTCATGGATCTACAGTTTTACACGGAGGGAGGTGATATGATTCTAACATGCTACCAATATGCTACTGAGTGTCGGAGTGAAAAGAATGCGGCGTGTATGAGGCGCGTGCCGACATGAGAAATGTGTGGGACAATCTGAGCGAAGGCAATGCCGCAGACACCGGTCAGAATATCGGAAGAGAGGGTGATAGAGTGAGGATGAAGCCTGGTCAGGCGGGCAGGGGGACAGGGGGAAACCGAACGGCGGCAGGGGCGGGGAGAGGCGGCTAGAGTGCGTGGGAAACTGGCTGGGACAAGAGGGTGCCGGAAAGAAGGGACGATCCGTGATTGAATCAGGAGTGCCGAACCGGCGGAGAATTGATTGCATCGTGTACAGTGATGCGTGGCGACCTGATGGCGCGAGCAACGGAGGCGGGCGGCTGGTGGGGGCGGTAAAGCAAATGGCGGGCTACGGGCCCAGGACTCACGTGGCAAAAGGTTGACATTTTGTAGCACGTGACATGATCTGCGCTTTTACTGGAGACCCGTCTCAAGACGGCTGTGTCTCCAATAACGAGGCACTGTCTTAAGACGTCTCACAGGTACGCCTGGCGCCTTGACCTACGACTTGGGTGACCTTGAAGGGGCCCAGGCGTCGGTGGGAGAGGCCACGAGAGGGTCGCGTTGTTGTGATGTCCGAGGTGTCGAGCCAGACTCGGCTGCCAACCTTGATGTCGGGAGCGGCGGTCCTTCGTCGGTCATAGTACCTCTTGTACTTGTCCTTTGCCTTGACCAGTGCTGATTTGGCCTCGGTTACGCCCGATGCGACCCGATCCAGAAACTCGTTGGCAGACTCTGCTCGGGTGGAGCGCTGCTCTGTTGGCTCGAATCCCATGCGTGGTAAGCGTCCTGTGTCCGTCATGAAGGGAACCTGTTGGGTCGAGGAGTGGACGTGGTTGTTGTAAGCAAACTCGGCTGCGGGCAGGAGCTCGTCCCAGTCGTCCTGTTTGTAGCTGGTGAAGATCCGGAGGTATTGCTCCAACTCCTGGTTGACCCGCTCGGTCTGGCCATCAGTCTGCGGGTGATAAGCAGTGGACGTGGCAGGGGAAACGCCAACCAGCTTCCATAGCTCCTGGGTGAAGTCCGCCACAAACTGAGGGCCGCGGTCGGAAACATACTTGATAGGTAACCCGTGGTGTCGCCAGACGTGCTTGTAGAACAACCGAGCCATCCCTTCGGCCGAGAGGCGAGTGTGGCACTCGATGAAGTGGGCACGCTTCCCTAGCATGTCAACGACCACCATGATAGCGTCGTAGCCGTGCGCCTCCGGTAACTCAACAATAAATTCCACCGACACCGATTCCCAACGTTCCGAGGGGATCTCTGTGGGATGAAGCTCTCCAGTGGGGAGTCGTCGGAGAGCCTTGGTCCGACAGCACAGGTCGCAGGTGGCCACGTATCGGCCGACGTGTCGTGAGAGCTGGGGCCACCAGTAGTTCCGAGAGACCAGCTCCAGCATCTTGAAGCGGCCAGCGTGCCCTGCAACACGGGTGTCGTGATGTTGCTCGAGGATGCGTTGTCGAAGGTCCTTGTCGCGCGGAACCACCAGTTTCCCACGGAAGTAGAGCAGGCCGTCCTGGACACGCCACTCTGCTGTGACTGCAGAGCGGGCCCCCTTCATCCCCTTTAGAAGCTGTCGCGCTACGAGCGCAACAGCTTCCTCAAGGTCAGGGTCACCGGAAAGCGATTCCCGAATGTCACGGACAAGCGGGGCTTCCGGGCCAGAGACGGAAAGTCCCTCGAGTGCACGCACATGGAACAGTTCCGGTCTCAGCAGGGTGACATCTGTGTTGTCCGAGGGGGCTCCGTGGTCCGGGCGTCGGGAGAGTGCGTCTGGTCGTCCCATGAGCCGGCCAGGTTGGTGGTGGAGCGTGAAATCGAAGCGGGATAGGTAGAGCGACCATCGGGCTTGCCGGCGATTGAGGTTCTGGGCCTTGCGGAAGTACTCCAAGTTCTTGTGGTCGGTCCAGATTTCCACGGGGTATTCGGCGCCCTCCAAGAAGTGCCGCCACTCCTCCAGCGCACGCACAATCGCGAGCATCTCCTTGTCGTGGATCTCATAGTTGCGTTGGACGTCGTTAAGGCTCTTGGAAAAGAAGGCGACTGGGTGCCACTTGTCGTCCAAGGGGGATTGCTGCGAGATGACGGCTCCTGTAGCAAAATCGGAGCTATCAGCCTCCAGGCGATAAGGACGAGAGGAGTCTGGGAGGAGAAGAACCAGTGTAGAGGTGACTGCATCCTTCAAGGCCTGGAACGAAGCGGACTCGTTGTCGCCCCAAGACCATGATACGTCCTTCTTGGTGAGGTCAAAGAGCGGGCGCGCAACGTGGGAGAAGTCCCGAATAAACCTCCGGTAGAAGTTAGTGAACCCAAGGAACTGCTGCACTTCCTTCTTGTTAGAGGGAGCCGGCCATTCGGCTACTCCTGCTACCTTGACGGGGTCCATCTCGACGTGGTTGTGGGAGATGATCACGCCAAGGTACTCGATGGACTCCATCTCGAATTCGCACTTCTCGGCTCGGAGGTACAACTTGTTTTCGCGGAGGCGCCGGAGGACTTCGTTCACGATACGACGATGGAGGTGAGGATCGGAGTGCGCAATGAGGATGTCGTCCAGGTACACCATGACGTCGCCCGAGAGGATGAGGTCCTGGAGGATGTCATTCATCATAGTCTGGAACGTTGCAGGGGAGTTGGTGAGGCCGAAATACATCACCAGTGGCTCGAAGAGCCCGCGGTTAGTCCGAAATGCAGCCTTCCACTCATCTCCTTCTCGTATCCGTACGTTGTTGAAGCCCCATCAAACGTCGAGTTTGGTGAAGAAGCGGGCTCCCTTGAGCTTATTGATCAGGTCGTTGATTAAGGGAAGGGGGTACCGATTCTTCACTGTCATTGCATTCACTGCCCGGTAATCTTGGACAAACCGTAGGCTGCCGTCCTTCTTTTTGACAAAGAAGACGGGGGAGGCCATAGGGGACTTCGAGGGTCGGATTCGGCCGGTGGCCATGCCTTCTTCGATGAAAGCGTCGAGCTGCTTCTGCTCCAAGGGGGAGATAGGGTAGACCTTGCAGTTCGTTGGCTTTGCGTCGGGTACCAGTTCGATGGCGTGGTCCCAGGGGCGACGTTCCGGAAGGTTGTCAAAGGACTCCTTGCTGAAAACATCCTTGAACTCACGCGCCCACTCGGGTATGGAATCCCGAGGGGGGGCAGAGTTCTTGGCAAACGCCTCCGCAAGACGCTGGGAGACGGTGCTAGTGGCTCGGATGTCTTCAGAAGGGTTGAAACGGGTGTAGAGGATACGGTCACCGGTTTCCAGACAATCTTCTTCTTTGTCGGAATCTTCTCCGTTGTCTTCCTGGAGCAGTGGCATAGCCTCGTCTTCGCGGTCTTCCATGTCGACGACGCAGATGGAGGGGGCGGGGCCTTGTCGGGCTGACCGGAGTGCTCGGGCAGAAATTCGGGCTATCCGTCTCTCTTGGCGAGACTCCTCGGTGCAGGTGGAACAGCCCGATGGGCAGCGGCTCATCTTTACCTCTTGAGTGTCCCAATTGATCTCCGGGTTGTGCTTCCGAAGCCAGGAATAGCCGAGGATCAATTTCTGCTTGCCAAGCCGAGTGACGGCGAGCTGGACACGCTCGCTGTGTCCTTGGTAACGCAGGACCACATCGGCAACTTGTCGAATGGAGCCGGCTTCATTTGGCGTGCCGTCCACGTTGTAGACTGGGATAGGCTGGGAGAGCTGCCGGACCGGAAGTTGGTTTTCGGAGGCGTAGGTGGAGTCAATGAAGTCCGACGTGGCGCCGCAGTCGACCAGTCCGTTGAGGGCGAGCTGGACTGCGTTGTCGGTGGACTGGATCTCTAGGGGGAGGTGCAGGGAGTTGGCGCCAGGGGAGGCTGCGACCACGTAGCGCTGAGGGAGTTTTCGTTCCCACTTTTCCTTGCGGACCAGCGGGACAGAGCGAGAGGCAGGGGGTACGTCTATCGTTTCGTTTGCAGGGGAAATGAGGTCGCATTCATCATACAGACATTCAAAACAATTACGTGAGGCGATCGAGGGCGTACTATTCACTCGTCGCGGGGGAGAAAACCCTGCTCCAACTCGTTGGAAATCTCCGCTTCGTGATCTTCTACAGCCGCTGTAGTCGCTAGCCGGGCCACTAATTCCGCCAACAGGTCGCTTCCCAGCTGATTGATCACTTCGTCCAGGACGTCAGCGTGCCGGACATCAGCGGGGGTCGGGCAGTCTCGGGCCAGGTGTCCTGGGCTGCCGCATCGGAAGCAGGTGCGACGAACACCGGTGCGGGCTCGGGTTCGGTCGATATCCATGGGAATGCCCGGTGGGAGGACTACCGGGGCTGGTCGGGGAACAGGGGGTGGGGCGACCACCGGAGGAGCCATGGGGCGAGGGCGGGGGGCCGCAGGAGGCGGAGCGCGGGATGGGGAGAACACCTGTCCTCGTGCAGCTCGGGCAGCCACCTCGGCGTTGTACTGGCAGAATGCACGGGTACGCCACTCCGAGTAGTTTGTGAGGCTAGGCGGGTTACCGGAGGTCGTGATCGCCTGATTGATCCTGGGGTCTAGACCCGCCCGGTACTTGGTGACTTTGACCAAGTTGTCGGAGTATCCCGCCAAGTCGAGGAGGTCGTCGAACTCGTCCGTGTATTTGAACACGTCGCGGGATCCCATGTAGTAGGCGTGGGTCTCCAGCCGTGCCAGGGCGTGGTCTTGCTCGTTCTCCTCAACGAACCGGAGCTTGAACTCGGCGACGAAGGAAGACCAGGTCGGGAATGGGAAGACGAGGCGCTCTGACATACGTTCCGACCAGGAGGCCGCCGAGTCCTTGGACATGTAGGAGAGGGCAAAGCGTACCACCTTCTCTTCTGATACCACCCCGTTCACATGGAAGGCCTCGGGGAGGAGGCGCCAGTACTGCTTGACGGAATGGAGAAACGTCTTGCCCTGGGTGCGATCCCCATCGAACGCAAAGGGGGGGTTGGGGCGGATGAGAGGTCGTGAGTTGGCCGCTTGGCCGTTAAAAACGCCTGGACCCGCTGCCGGAGGCGGGGCAGGGGCAGGGGCAGGGGGAGGTTGTACCTGTGATCGGAGGAGACTGTCAAGAAGTCCCTCCATTCGTTGCATGGATTCCTCCAGATTACCGAGTCGCTGCTCGGGGGTAGGGGTGTGGGCCTCGTCCTCCATGTAGGACATGATAATCGTAGAGGGGGAGGAGGGGACAAGTTGGAAGGCAAGGAGTGGTTGGTCGACGAGTCTTCACAAGCTTGCCCAGTTATCCCTAGGAACTCGGTTTCTGCTGTAAGGGCAACCTCGAGGCCCGATCTCAGAGTCCTGACAAGGGAGAGTCCAAAGCGTCAGATAAAGGGATCGACTAGTACAGGAGACTGGCAAACCTGACAAGGGAGAGTCCAAAGAGAAACCGAGTTGGGGACTCTCCTTGTCAGGGCCCACTATATATAGCCTACAGAACAATGGATGACGAAGCACAATGGAAGCGCCAGACAATGGGGCCAGGGAACAATGAGGGGCCGGATCGGGGGGAACAATGGGAGCCGGACCGTCGGAACAATGGGGGTGCGGGCCGGAGTGTCATGTGGACGCGCTTGGCAGGGAAGTCCGGACCGAAGCATGTGACGCTTGACAGATGGCGCGTGCGCGGTCACATGCGAGATCCCATGATGATCGGACGAAAGCAGGGGTTCCCCTGACACCCTCGCAAGATCATCACCGACAGGGACTCGCGTTACATCAAGGGCTTCATGAAGGAGACGAATCAGATGTTGGGCGTGGAAATGAACCCGGGGACCGCATATCACCCGATCACGGATGGACAAACCGAACGCATGAATCAGGAGATCGAACACTATCTCCGCATTTACGTCAACTACCATCAGACGGATTGGTCGGAGTGGCTGGGAATGGCGGAGTTCGCATACAATGACAAAATGAACACGTCTACCAAGATGTCGCCGTTCTATGCAAATCACGGATATCACCCATGGAAGGGAGTGGAGCAAAGGATGGAATCAAGGAACGAGTCGGCGGAGGAATTTGTAAAAAGAATCAAAGAAATACAAGACGAAGCAAAAGCAGCATTGGAAAAAGCAAAAGAAAAAATGAAAAAATACTACGATAAACAAAGAAAAGAAGTTCCGGAGTTGAAGGTTGGGATGAAGGTGTACATAGAAGGGAAAATATCGAGACGGATAGACCATCAAAGAAGATGAGCGACAAGAGATTGGGACCATACGAGATACTGGAGAAGGTTGGAGCGGCCGCATGGAAGCTGGATTTGCCGGACACGGACCGAAGACACCCGGTGTTCAACGAGTCACTGTTGACACCCTATCACGAACCACCCCCCCATCGCCGAGAGAAGAGACCCGTGGCCAAGATGATCGGAGGAGCAGAGGAGTGGGAAGTCGAAGAAATCGTGAAAGAGCGAAAAGTCGGCCGAGGAAAACAGTACTTGGTCAAATGGAAGGGATGGCCGCACAGCGAGAACACCTGGGAACCATCACGTCACCTTACCCACGCGAAGGGCGTCCTGAGAGACTGGCAGAGGAAACAATCAAATCCAGACACACGCATTCGCCTCCTGCCAACGCTCAAAGCTGGACACTGGGACTATCTCATTCATCGTTACAAGCCCAGGGACGAGCGCCTTCCATATCCCGAACGACAACTCTTCGACCCCTACGAGAACGTCTTCACGCCCATTGGCCTAGTCGATGAGGACATCGACCCTAGAGAGGGGGTAATGTCATAGTTCGACCACTTTTTCATCTTATCATCGACGATCTTATCTTATCTTGGCACGACTTATCTTATCACAGATCACGGCATCAGACGGTCCGGGCTAGGGGTTCCAGGGGTTATCTCTATCGATTCGAGGCTGCACGACATATGCTCCGGAAGGTTCTACTACAACCCATGACCAGCGTTCCATGCGGTACATAGTCTTATGACTCATTAGTTGTAGATATGACTCAGACTGGATTTGGGTATAAATACTGTAGCTACCTGGTTGTATTCTCCAGTCTTCGAATTCACTTCTCTTTTCGACTTTGTTTTTGGGTTGATTGTCACATGCCCGTCGAGTAGGAGCACACGCGGTCTCCCTGCTGCTTCCTCCTTGGTTGCAGGGTCAAAGACTTTCATCAGCCATTCATAACCACGGTCATGGTCGGTCCATCCATTGAGAGAACGAGAGATGCTAAGTCGAGGTGTGTCAGTCTTGGTTCTTGTGCCATTGCTTTCACTCACAATGCATTGATAGTGTTTCTGTTGTTCCACGACGACTGGAACTTTGACCCTGGGAAGATGATCATGGGTGGCACAACCATCTTCCCATCTGCACGTATTGTCACCAGAGCTGTGATATTCTGACGACTCGCTCCTCCCTGCTTGTGCTGTGTCTTTGTCCCTCTTGCCCCCACCACCCTGTCCTTTCCTGTGTAGCCTGTCGGAAAACCGCTTTCATCCATGCCATAGACACATTCCGGTGCAACTGCAAGCTCCACCACCCACTTCCTCACCAGCTCAACCCACGATGCCACGGCAGTCTCGTTTAGACTCTTTGCACGCTGGGAATCAAGTGGCTTGCTCCAGTGCGTTTGCAAGCTCTCGCTGTGCTGATCAAGGAACGCAAAGACCCATTTCTTTCCCACTGCCTCGCATTCTGTTCCGTGCATTGCCTGTCGCACCGCATTTGTATACTCTATGATCTGCTTGTGGGTCAGTGGGAACCCCATGTCGGCCGATTCACGTATGAATCCCACAAGGGCCCATTCTTGAGCAGGTGACAGTTTCTGTTGTGATGCGTGTGCCTCCTGCCGACTCTTCCCACCCTTGATACGACGATGTAGAGTACCATAGGATAGGCCGTATGTCTTCGCTATGTTGTCAATAGACTTTGGTCTTCCCAAGTTGGCTGGTTTGGCCTGCTCGCGCTCGTATTCTGCAAGGGCTTTCTTGATGTCATTTTCTTTCTTCTTCACATGCAAATGGGCCTTGACACGGTTGGATTGGGCACGTTTGACCATTTCAAAGTCAAGGACCGTGATTGGCGATGGATTTGCCTAGCAGCATGTGGAAGAAAAGTGGGGAAAGATGATCAACAAATGCACTGTCACGCTCATTCACACGTCGACCTTTCCATGGGTCTAGCTCGCTCCTTCTTTGTCCAACTCTTTTGTGTAAAAGGCAAAAAGTGTAGCTTAATGGGTCCTTTGAGCCCTCCAAAAGAATTGAACCCAAAAGAGCGATGTAAAGGGTCAAAAACGCAGAGAGGAGATCTGATCAGACTATGATTTCATTGATTTTCATCTCAAATCTGCTCGTCTACTTTCCACGCTCAATCCCCAGCATCCAAATGTGGTTAAGTAAATGAACAAGACCAATACATGCTAAATATGTAGTACCGTAAGGATAATCGCCCTCAGGCAGGCAGTAGAAAGGTTTCATCCATTACTGATGCATCATCCACTTCTGCCTCTTACACTGTACATGGCAAGCAATGGCTCTGGATTTCTACTTGGGACGTACTTGGCTAACTAGCTGACTGTAACTGATAACTGTATCTAAGTATGTATGTTATGTATGTATGAGAATGTATGCATTATTTCTGTATGTATGTGATAAGTACGATGGATGCGAATTCAGGATGATGCGGAGACAGTTCATGATGATGATGCGAAGACAGTTCGTGATGATGATGATGATGAGTAAAAGATAAACCGGTGCGCATGGGAGCAAAACGCAGATGTGGCAGACGATGCATGATTCCAATATCGTTCGATGAGTAAAAACAAAGCAAGTTCCAGTCGAGTTCTGATGCAAGGAGACCGAGATAAGAAGTTGGGCGAGCGTATCTGAACAAACAACGATGAGCGTCATCAACGCTAGACTTCATGAAACACACGACGTACCCACTCAATACCCGTAGTAAGCACGCATCCGGTCACTGCATATCGTCACATCAGATCGAGAAGAAGCCTGCGAACGCCACTCACAACAACCAGATGACCTTGGACCCAGTCTTGCAGCCACGGAGCGTGACGATGTGACCACGGATACAATCGTAGAGCAGGGCACGCTGATCCTTGTCCGCAGCGGGCAGGACGCTGGCGATGAGCTGGCTCCCGGTGAGCGACAGGGCGAGGTCGACGATCAGAGCACGACGCGAGGCACTGAAGATGTGTCAGCAAAAAGTGACTGACATTCAGGCAGACCTTGACGAACCCCTTGGCAGGCTCGCACATGCGCTGAACGATACGGTCGAGGGTGTCCTTGCCACCCTCCTTGAGCGCCTTCATGACGCTCTTGCTTCCCTGCTCGTTCGTCGCAAACTCGAGCAGCCCGCCCAGAAGATGCTCGAGTGTCTTGAGCCGGTGCTGCTGCGAGCCGTGTTCCAGAACTGGTCGAGCAAGGTGAGCACATGGCGCTAGCACACGGGTAGTGGGAACGCACTGTGCTGGACGCAATACGCGCCCCATTGGCTCTTGGCAACCTCCGAAAACACGGCGGGCCCCTGTCCCAACAGCTCATCCACGATGCCGTCCTTCGCAGCATCTTCCAGATTCTCAAAAGCGTGCTGACCAAAGATAAGTCTACATCCTACGAACGTCTAGGGTCGTCAAGCGACACACCTGGACAACCAGCGACCCGGTCTCATGGCAGGCAAGCGCGGCCCACTTGCCCTTGAGAGCTTTGTTGACGTAGGCAAAGATGGGCGGGGCGGGCGGGGTCCAGGAGAGCTCCATGACCTTGCTCCAGACATGCGAGGCGTGCTTGTTCACCAGCGTCGCAGCCGGATCGCCCAGCAGCAGCTCAGAAACAATCAGCAGCCGCACGTCCTCCTCGTCGCAGTCTAGTGCCTTCTGCAGCACGTGGCACCCGTAGCAATTGGTCGCGAGATCCACCACCCGGCCACTGATGACGGAACCAGATTAGCACCCGACAAAGTGTTAAGTTGGATGAAGACATACCGCATACACCCGACAATCCGCCTGCGCTCGTCCGCGCTGCCCGCCGCCTCGAGGCAGCGCTGCACAGCCCAGTTTCCAAACCGATGCATCATCATCTCCGCACCGCGCGCGCAGATCGCGTCCACGATACGCCCCCGCTCCTCAGGCCCCGCCACCTTCAGCTTCTGTTGCAAGAATATACTGGCTTGCTGGTCGGCGCTCTTGATGATCCGCGACACGAAGGACGCGTACGGCGGCGAGGAGGACGGGTGCAGCAGAGACAGAAAGTTGATCGGCTGTGAAGATAGGATGAGATGAGATCGAAGGCAGATCTCGTCGAACAAACCTCAGCGCCAGTCCGCTCTCTGACATGCCCCACTCCAAACGCATCCCAGTCCGAGGAGATCTGGTTCTTCCTCTGATGTTCTGCAGCACCCCCCTCCAGAAACTCTCTCGTCCGGATCCAATCGCCCTGTGGCTGATGGTGCAGGCGTGCTGCCGCTCCCCGTCGTCCGAGGTACTCCGACCCAAACAAGGCATTCTCTTGGCGGAGATCCGGCCCATTATTGGCGTGGATACTGGCACTCAATCCCATCCCCAGTCCGCTCTCCCCACTGTCCCGCCCCAATCCCATCCCCAACCCGAGACCAGGCGGGGTAAGTGGAACAGACGACACCGATCCGTACCGCCCACCCAAAGCAGCTCCAGAGCCGAACGATCCCAGACCAGAGCCAGTGCTGGTCAGCGGCGGCAGTCCCGACAAAAGACCCGGCGACGGCGGATCCAGCTCGTATGCGTTGTTGTTCACGCCGTAGTGATGGTTGTTGCCGGTAGTGTAGAGTCGCTCCTTGAGGTAAGGATAGGACGCTGGCGGCGAAAGCTGGCCGAGTCCGAGTCCATGGCTCGTGGGTGAGCCGAGGGAGCCCCCCAATCCGCCCAAGCCCAAGCCCATTCCTGGCCCACCGATCCCAGTGCCCACGGAGAACCCGGCGCTGCCGCCCAGCCCAGGCGAATCTAGCGGCGTAAGCAGCGCCAACGGAGACAGGTCCGACGCCGGCGAGTCCGGTTGCTGCTGCTGGACCTGGTGCTGAGTGTATGCACCCATGGGAACATGCTGCTGCCGCTCCTGCTGGATCTGCTGCTGGATCTGCTGCTGCTGATACACATACCCGGGCGACACCGGCGCGGCACCCATCCCGGTCCCGACATTCATACCCCCATACGCAAAGCATCCACCCTCCTCATCCCCACTCGTACCGGACGTCCCGCTCGTGTTCGAGTCGGACGACAAGCAGAAGGAGCCGGAACCAGAGGTGTTCGCGCCGGAAGACGATGACGTGGAGGTGGTCGACGACGCGAAGCTCAGATCGAGCATCGGAGGCTTGCCGCGCTTGCCGGCGCTGCTGGGCGACGAGGAAGAGGAGGACCGCGCTGAGCCGGGCGTTTGAGGTTGAGCTTGAGATTGAAGTCGATGCGGAGAATAAGAGAGCTGGGGCGCATAGCCGTGCACTGGATGGCGGGGAGACGTAAGTTGCTGGTTCGGCTGTCCCTGGTGCATCGACGGCGGTGGGGACGGCGAGTTGAGGTTGAGCGTGCGCAGGAGTTGCTCGACGTGCTATAAAGATGGATGAGCGAAACGCGAGCGAGATCGTCGAATGGATAAAAACGCATACGCACACTCGAATCGTCCCGGAGACTCATCATACCCATGCTCATGCTGGTCTCGTCTCCACCGACCATACCGCCGCCGATTGCTCCGTATCCCGGCGCAGGCGCGTACCGCCTTCCATTTCCAGTACCCGCAGGTGGATTCACACCGAGACTGAAGCCCTGCTGCTGCTGATGGTGCGAAACGTACGCATCCAGCGCACGTGGCCACATGGGGTCGCCTGCATGCGGCTGTGGAGCCCAGATAGACGAAGCGAGCGTCCCGCTGGGATTAGCGGTAGTGCTGTTACTGCTGGTGGTGACACCAGGGGCCGGTGCTGGTTGACTCGCGGGCGGCGGCGGCTGAACGGGTACTGACGAGGTAGAGGTTATGGAAGAAGGAGAGGCGGAGAGTGGGACGATGGGGGACGGGAGAGCCAAAGGAGGCGGTGGCGGCGGGTGCTGCTGCTGCTGCTGCTGCTGCTGCATTTTCGAAGGAACACGTCTGCGGCTGAGTGAGTGATCGTGCGTATAGACGACGAAGGGAGCAGTGCGCGAGAACAACGAAGAGATGGATAAGAAGGGGAGTGAAAACAGTGGGTATATGCGTGCGCCATCAAGCATATATGCGCCTCTCAAGTCGATCATGGGACGGGCGCGCGTCGTCGACAGTCGAGACTGGCCAGGCACAACGAGAAATGCACGATAAACCATCGCCCCATCGACACAGACAGAGGCGAAGAAAGGAAGAGAAACGGGAAGAAGATGAAGAAAAGAAGGGTCGCATACAAAGCTATGAAGAGGAACCGCGCGTGGTGTAACGAAAGAGGGGAAGAAAGCGAGCGAGGGGAAGACACAAGGGCGAACGGATCGACGAGAGAGAGGGGAAAGATGGAGGAGGGAACGAACGAACGAACGAACCGATTATTCGCCTCACATACTTATAAGTACTTTGACGCGCTTCTGTGAATTGCGGGGAAGGACAACTTGAATTACGGTGACAGTGACAGGCAGGCGCATCAACGTTTTCAGTCACAATCCCCCACCAATCTCGGCACACATTGGAAGGAGCGGATCAGACCACTTTGGGGTAGGCCAGGTAGGCTGCGAAGTCTATGTTATGAACGCGATTGGCGGCCGGGAAGAGAAGGTGGAATCGAATCCCTGGCCTGCTTTTGAACGTAGAGGCGTTGGAAGCTGAATCCGATGAGAGTTTCACGCTCTTATGTTAGTTGAAGCGGCTGAATCTCGGGCAACACAAATAGAATGCCTAGGAGTCCCATAGAAAAAATTGAGGAGATGGATTCAGCTTGCAGGATATCACTGGGACAAAATCTGTGATACAGTATTTGCAGTCGTGAAGAACTCATCCCGTATATGCACTGAATTCGAGCATCAACGTCATTGGTGATCACCGGGCCGGAGATCGACACAGACGGCCAGGGTCCCGACGTTCGAAACTTCACAGAAGATGGTGACTGCAGGGAATCCTCAAAGACGAGTCGATCGATGCTGAGCTGATCATCTTCGCCTCATCCCGCATCCCCCGCGCAACGCTTCTGCTACAACGTTTTCAGCTGCGTTGTCCGTGTCCACGAAAACTGAGTCGTCCCAAGTGCAGACAGCGTACTTACCCCGAGAATGTGTGATGGACCTTGTCAGTGGAGCTTCGATCGATCGAGATTCGGTATTTGGCTATTATGTCAATGGTAGGACTCACCGCAACGTCTTAAGGGAAATCTAGAGAAATACAGCAGGCATCCGCGGTACATAGCAGTTCCTGGTTGATATGTCATGCATGAGAGCTACAAACGTATCACGTGAAATATGATCAGGTCGGTCCTCGGAGACCCCGGAGTGGCATGTTTTCAAGGAGGTGGCTGTGACGCCTCCTTCCTCGTCATCTCTACGCCCGTCTCCTGCCCGAAAAATGGACGATACTCTCAATTCCAATTCTCTCCTGAGCACCTGGATCGCTGCTCCGATTCAGACCGGCAGAGTTTTACCCGGGGACTGGCCGCTCCATTTCTCCTCCAGGTTGTCGCAGCATTCCAGACATATTGTATCCGCGAGACACTGTGCCCCAGATAAAAGACTGCGGGCAGTTTTTGTCTGTGGACTCGTCAATTTTGTCGACTCACCGACCACACTTCCCTCCCCTCTCCCTCCCTCCCGAGACCAATCCCCTCCGCCGCCGCCGCGCGCACAACTCTCCTTGCCATCATGTTCAAGTTCTCCACCTTTGCTTTTGCTCTCTCTTGCGTCGGCCTTATTCGTGCCGCCGTCATCGACGGCCTCGCAACCCGCACCTCGTCGTCCTCAGACACCTGTGCCTGTACCACCGGGCCGTTGAACATCGCCGGTGTATCCTGCGGAACGTTCCATCAGTCTGGTGAGAATCCGTCGATGTGTCTTTTTCCTCGGTCGCTGAGCAATGTTGCGCAGACAACTTCTGCTTCTGCATGAGCGAGCTCGATTCGCTGATCCAGAACAGCAACAACCCGATCATCCAGTTCGCCCGCTTCTTCGACGTCGATCTCATCAAAGGCGCGCTCACGCAGATGGTGCGCCTCCCGTCGACCTCTTCTCCTTTGTGCCTCACTCACCCCGTCTCCTCCAGGTCCACAACGCCGAGTCGAGATCGGACTGCGACCGGCCGGACTTCTCCGCGCCCAGCTGCTCGCGCGACAACGTGTGCGGGTACAAGTGCCACGACGGGTACAAGGACTGCGGCGACAGCTGCGCGCGCGCGTGCTCGACGGCGAGACTCGGCCGCAAACGCCGCAGTGTGCCGACGGAGGCGAAGCCCGACTACTGGGGCGCCCGCGTGCAGCGCACCTGCGAGCAGGGCTGGCAGGCGTGTGGTGTCCCCGGGGCTGACCGCCGGGCGTGGGAGTGTGTCGATGTGCAGAGGGACTTGGAGAGCTGTGAGTGTCATCTCAGCCCCATTCTAGTGCCTCTTGTCTGACGAGGTATGCAGGCGGAGGCTGTGCCTCGGGCATCTCGTCCTCCCTCACGGGCCAGTCCACTGGCGTCGACTGCACCACTATCCCACATGTTTCTGACGTCTCGTGCATCTCCGGGGGATGTGTTGTCCACCGTTGTCTCCCTGGATACATCACGTCCCCCTCGGGCGACGCTTGTCTCAGCAAAGACTTTGTTGACAGGACCCCCCTCTCCATTGTAGGGGAAAAGATATTCGACATCGCTGCCGCAGCGCTGAGTCTGTAGACTCAACATCGTGCCGTTAGACGATGCTTCATCTCAAACATTCATTCACAAAGGGCTATTGTTCAAACTTGATTAATAGAATAGGGCTAGTGAGGGGTATCAGTAAACTACCTCGGATTTGCATCCTCCCGGTCATCCCAATCTAAAAATATCACGTCCTGAGTCGCCCTGTGGCGTCAATCGTGGCGATGCAGATTGCTCAGGGCGGAAGTGCAATGATCGGGTCAATGAAGGTCACGGCCGAGGGGCTTTGGGTCTGCTTCTGTACCAGTTCTCGAAAGGAATGAACCTCGGATTCCATTCCATACTGGCTCCGATGTTTCGAGTCAAACTAGGCGCGAGACACCGCGATGGTGTTGAAATCCTTCCCTGGTACATTCACTGGCACAGTGCTCCTTGCTGCTACTCGGTCCTTCATTTCACGCAGTTTCTGTCGTTCCGACACCAGCCGACCTCTGCAGGCCCCTTTCGCGCGCTTCTCTCTCGTTCTGTTATTGTGATGTATCTCTTAGATGTATTCCATGCTCAGAAGCTAATGTATTCACTTGTATTACCAGTGAGCATATATCGGACTATCACCGCAGGATTATTAGCAGTTGTATCCATTTGGACCGAGAAGATTCTGAAGAGCCCCGTCCAGAGTGACTCGATCATCCGACAACTGATCTGCATGTTTCTGCAAAGCCCCACAGCCGATCCAACAATCAGAAAATCATATCCCCGGACCACCTCGGAACGACTCACCGGGCATACAACCGCGGCCGTCTGCAGATACCCGTCGCACCCAACCTTGAGTTCCCTGCCGTCCGAGCAGAGAAAAGCATGGTACGCTGCACTCAAGTCAGGCGGTGCGCTCGTCCAAGCTCTCAGTCAAACGCACTATCCAGGGTGCCCTTCTGAGCGGCGATGTCGTCCACGGTGGCGACGATCAGGCCCTCGTAACTCTGCACCTGCTGGAAAAAAGCGTCGCACTCGTCGTCATCCAGCTGTGATCCCTCAAGGGTCTTCCACGCGGTGTCGAGCGAGTTCCGCACCGCGTCGACATCGGATTGGATATTCTGCGCCCCAGAGCCATTGGTTAGGACGTTCCGAGTCGCCGAATTGAGGAGACACGCACGAGCATCTGGAAAAAGCCCGCGCCGGGCTGGACGGCCCTCACAGCGTCATCGAGCGCTGTGCACTTGCTGCCCAGGTCCTTGAGAGTGGACTCGACTTCAGTCAGTCCTGTGGTTGCAGTCGGTACTGCGGTGGCCACAGCGAGTGAGACGGTGATGAAGAGTGCGCGGAACATGAACCTGCCTGTGGATCCTGGGTAGTAGCAGCGTTTATTACCCCTCGTCCAGTCGACGCGAGATATCTCCGGACCTTGGTGCCATGCGCGACCCTCCCGAATAAGCTGTTCTAGCTCCGGAATGACCCCTTCCCCGGAGGACACGCGGCTCAGTCGCCCGCCTAAAAGGCGTATTGATATTAGCGGCAGCGGGCCATTAATTCCGTCCGAGGGACACTATGCGTAATGTTGGAACAGAATGCGGGTCATTCCATCGAAGCTTCCTGTGCTTTCGTCCTTAGAAGCTCCTGCGGGAGAGGGGGCGTACCCAGTCGAGGGAGCCATAGCACTAAGATTTAGGATAAAAAGCCATGGCTCTTACCATGGAAATCCCATCCTAACATATGGTAGTTACCATGCCCAGTGGCTATGTATACCCCCTGTGTCCATACAGGTGAACCAAGCGGCGGCACGTTCGGTGATGTAGCTGATGATCATAGTGATTAATGATGAGCGATTAATGAATGGCAGCCATGGCACCGGATTGAACTCGAGACCCTTCCAAAAAGTTACAGAAATATGGAGCAGTAACCACTGAGCCATAACAGCATACAATATCCAAGCATATTTCCGACCACAACCCTGGTAGAACCGGCCAAAAAACATCTCCCCACTTAGGACAAGGAGCAAGCCTCCTTGGCTCCTTTCCCTAAGTGGGGGAAACAACCCTAACCTCTAACCAACCCTGACTGCTAACCAACCCGAACCCTAGCCAGTAAAAAAACATGATTCTTGGGACCCGAAGCCCTATCCCAAACCCTAACCCTATCCCAAACCCGAACCTGTCTTAAGTCCGAGAAGGAGGGACACAGCAGGTTGCCTTGCTTGTCAAGGCACTCTCCAGACCCTATATTCTACGAATCAGATGCAATAGTTCCGTATCTTGATCCGATCAGGTCACGTTACCAATGATGCTTCCCCCTTCTATGTATGTACCATCTGTTGTGCTCTCATTCACTCTTCACTCTTATTTTCATACGCTCCCCGCCGTGGCTGGCATTGTAGCGCGGCAAATCAGTGTAATATATACACCACCAACCCAAGTTGACGTCTTGTTGATGCTACTGTAGAACATCATCTGATGTATGTCGGTGACAATCGAACGACATTGATATTGGATCAGAGATGTAATCAATCGTCTAATAAATCCTGTGTAGTTATGACGAGTGACAAGATTATGAAGTCAAGGGCTGACATCTGGCTACTGAACCCGAGCAGTCTGCTAGGCATCACGGGGTTCCCAAAATAATGTCTCATGGCAATCTATATGCCATTGGATACAATTATATTTCTGTTACACAAGACTTCTGCATGATTCATGAAAGACCAAACAGTTCTGAGCTGAGTCAAGTACATTCTTTGCGGCGGATATTGGACATTCTTTGCGGCGGATATTGGAAGGATGTGGATACAGGAGGGTGGATTCAGGCAGGGGATTTGGTCCGCAAGCTTCTGCACAACAACAAGGTGCTTCAACGGCAGCTTGGATGGTCTCCCCCTGTGGAACAAACCCTCGGGTCAATAGCGCCCGTGGCACGAAAGAAGGACAGACCAACTCGTTGGGATCAGACTCAAGCATCGCGACACTACACTCCCCATACCAAATTTCCCCGGCTGGATGATGCCTCGGCGTGGTTTGGAGGCCAAAGCTTGACGACAGTCTGTGGTGACATTGTGCGCATTGGAGCATGGGTTGTTGCAGACGGGACGAATGGCAAGCCCGTGTTCGGACGAATTCTCGAGCTACTCCACAGACCGAGTCAGCTGGTCATACTCGAGCAGTTTGTTATTTGTCAGAAAGCGCACCCTGATTTCCTTTGGCCCATCCTCAGTCGGCCTGCAGGTGCAGAGATTGTCACTGGCTGTGCATCATTTGTCGTGCTCACAGCCAAGGCCGTCAAGTTCGTGGTGTCTGTCCAGCACGACTGTCAAAAAGGAGACTGCAAACCAGCTCTACTCGGAATGGAGAGGCAAGAAAGAGAAGAAACGCACCGCACGAGGAGTCTTATCCAGCACTCAGACGACGACTTCTTTGTCCTGAACCTCGCCGCTTTCCACAACTCTGGTGCGCTCTCCCGAATTCTCCCGAAATCATTCACAAAACCCCAGCCCATGCACGAAGACCGAAAGAAGTTCCACCACAATGTCGCTGCAGAGGCCCAGATTTTGCGTGCGAGCAAACGGAAAAAAACGGCGGAGAAGCGAAGGGCAACACTGGCCGCCAAAAAGGAAAGGGCTCAGCAGATGCTGAATGACGCAAATGCAGTGGAGGGAGAAGAGGAGGACAAGGAGTCGGGCAGCAAAAGTGAGGTGGAAGGAGACAATGCGTTGGAACTTGAGGGAGAAGGGATTGAGCCCGGGATACTTGGTGAAAAGAGAGTAGCGAGACCAGGGGAGGGTTCAAGCAGATCTCGAAAATGCCAGTGCTTGCAGTGAGTGTGGAGAAGAAGTCGTGTAGAAACGTCTCGTGATGTTATCTTATCTGGACGTTATCGGAAGGGCCTTGCCCGTTGCCTGAAATTTCTACATCTCGTCACCCTAGATGTCAGAAAGACGGATGTCCTGACATCAGCATCTGTTCTGTCATTTGTTTATATGAGCTCTCACTTGGAACATCCAAAATATGTATATACGAAGTTATACTCAAGTCATTTACCAACATCAGTCACTTGTTTCTTGCCACATCGATCAGACGTAAAGTCGGGTCGGCGGTGTAGTTTCATGCACAATGATGACTCTCTTTTGAGCACCCACCTGTGGGCTGTTTTCATTTCCGTTTGTGTCACTCTCTAACCGCACTGCTCCACATTCCACCACTGCAAACACAAGTGCTCACACCACATGATGTTGTGTTGCCTCATCTAGTCTCTGCCAGTGGTCCTGACCTGGACAAGAGCCCAAAGAGGAAGAAGATGAGAGCGTCTGGCGCTTAGTTACAGCTGCACTGGTATTTTACTTGTTTTATCGTGTATCAATTGGATCATATGGATTGAATCGGCGAGCAAGGCATGATGTTGGCAGAGCCAACACTTTCTAGTATCACTTGTGGGCGGCTGATGGAGATCACATGATGGAATCAGTGATGTGCACCATGTGATACATGCAGATGTGAAGCAAATGCATGGCTCTTGCCATGGCATGGTAAGCACCATACATTAGGATGGGATTTCCATGGTAAGAGCCATAGCATTTAGCTAAATCCTAGTGCTACGGGTGTAGGCTTTGCTGTGTCTGTGTCATAGTTCGACCACTTTTTCATCTTATCATCGACGATCTTATCTTATCTTGGCACGACTTATCTTATCACGGATCACGGCATCAGACGGTCCGGGCTAGGGGTTCCAGGGATTATCTCTATCGATTCGAGGCTGCACGACATATGCTCTGGAAGGTTCTACTACAACCCATGACCAGCATTCCATGCGGTACATAGTCTTATGACTCATTAGTTGTAGATATGACTCAGACTGGATTTGGGTATAAATACTGTAGCTACCTGGTTGTATTCTCCAGTCTTCGAATTCACTTCACTTTCGACTTTGTTTTTGGGTTGATTGTCACATAATTCGAAGACTCCCCTCATACCCTCGTACCTCTTACCTCCTACCCTGCTCCCTGCACCGCTACGCCCGCTATATCCTCTTCACCCTTATCACCGCACTCACCCTTTTACCGAATCATCTAGTCGCTCGCTGTGATCGCAGCGAAAGGTTCATATCAAGCAAACAGCACCAGGCCACGGGTAACGTTGAGCCCGACCCAAGCCTTACGGTAGCTACAAGGAGTACTGCGGAGACCTTCGGGAAAACGCACCTCGGGATCATCGGGCACGTGAAGAGCTAGGCCCGGGATCTTTTTGCTAGCAAAAGAACCTTTCCTCGAGTGCTTGTACAGCACACGAATCCACCATTTCGTACCGATTCCCATCGTCGTTTGGGAGTCCATCCCCTCCCCCCATCGTACCATCGTCGCCCGATCTGGCGCATCAAAACGAACCCGGGCCCTCCAACCCCTATCTCGCCCTTCCGCCGCCTGAAGACGAGATCCCAGACCTTGACGAGCTGCCCTCCGAACAACCACCCTCACCCCCACCTACCACACCTGCTCGTACCATGTCAGGACACCACCGCATCACCCTCGCCGCCGACCCTCCCTATTTCGATGGGGACAAATCTAAATATCTGGGCTTCGTAGACTCGTGCACCACCTACATTGGTGCCTACCGATCAGAGTTCTCGCAGGATGAGACCAAAATCCTCTTCGTCCTCTCCTACCTCCGCAACGAGAGCGGCACGAGCTGCGCTGCCTCGAGATGGGCGATGAACTGGAAGCAACACAACTTCGATGGCTTCCAGGGACTGAAGGCAGGGACCACGGCCAAGACCTTCTTGGAAGAGCTGCAGAGGGCCTTTGGGGACTCCAATGCGGAACAAGTCGCCGCTGCTCGACTCATGGCCCTGCACCAGAACAAACGGTCCTTCGCGGACTACATCTCCGACTTTGAGATGTTGGCCTCGGATGCGGGATACAATGTGGTCGACACCACCGACGACAAGGGCGAATACAAGAAGGGAGACCAAGACAATATCCTCATCAAGTTCCTGGAGCGCGGACTCAGTAGCGAGATTGCCAGCCGTCTCTACAACACGGGTGTCCCTCTGCCCAAGGCCTATGGGGCGTTCAAAGCCTGGTGCATCAACATCGAAGCCAATGCTCTACGTGACCAGCTACGCAAGGCATCCTACAGACATCCCACGCCACGACCACCTCCCCCGTTCCGCCCGCAGGTAGCCCCAATGACACCTGCACCCGCCCCGGCCCGACCCGCTGCCAACGAACCAGTTCCGATGGAAATCGATCGCACCCACGCCCGCGGCCGCAATATCATCTGCTACAACTGTCAGCAGCCTGGGCACATTGCGCGGAACTGTCCGGAGCCAAGGAAGAAGCGCACATTCTTCAATCGGGCCACAATGCTGGAAGAAATCGAGAATGGGGACAAGGACAACGAGTTCCTCAAGGAGATTGCCGAGAAGCTGCGTGAGAAGGGTTTTTGAAGCGCTCCACTCCTCTAGCCAAGGAGGTGGAGCGTCCGGACTATGGACGTTTTTCTATACTTGTTTCGATTAAAGATATGAACGATTCTCCTCATGCATACACGATCTCAGACTCCCTACGTACTAATATTCATGATTTTCTTGTCGCCGATATGGAAAAGGAACGTCAAAAGAAAATAGCTTTAAATAGAGAGTATTTACAGAGTAAGAAGGATCAGAAAGCTGCGGACAAATTAATTTTGAACTCCTACGTATTTATGGCTCGTGGAGAAGGAACCACGTCAACAAAGACCGAAAAGGGGAGCATCGCTCCGGAGGCTCAATCCTTGAAAAAGGAGGAAGCGCCCAAGGAATCTGCCGAAATCAGGGTTCCAGAAGCACCCAAACACACGAGGGTGCCAGATGCCATTCAAAGGAAATGGGCAGCCGAGAGACAGAAGGGCCTGCAACCCAGCAGACTGGCGCAGGAACTGCGCAACTACCAGGCCGAAAGGAAGAGACATTCGATGGATGTGTATGTACAGATCACGGGCCTGGACTCAGGAAAGACGCGCGGAGTCAAGGCGCTACTCGATAGTGGCTGTAGCACCTGCTGCATTGATACCGACTACGCGCGGGCAGAAAAGCTGGATATCCAAGAACTTCCCCAACCCATTGTGGCTCGTAACGCCGACAACACCGAGAACATCAGCAGTCGGATCACGCATTACGTCGACCTAAGGATGAGAATCGGTCCTCATGTGGAGACACGCACGTTCCTTCTGACGTGTTTAGGGAAAGCTCGGATCTTCATCGGTCTTGATTGGCTGACGGAACACAACCCTGAGGTGGATTGGCAGGAGCAGACGATGAGGTTCAGTCGATGTCCAGAGCGGTGTCACATGAGGGGTCACAAGGAGCATCAAGCGATGATCGACATGGATGCAATTGACCTGGATGCAGGTGCACCGGATCTGGAAGAGGGAGAGTCAATCCTGTTGATCGACTTTGGGAAGGAGGTGGATCTACGGTTGAAGGAAACGCCGGCGCAGAAATTCGCAGAAGAAGCGGAAAAAGAGAAGGAGAGAATGACCAAGGGGAAGATTCCGGATCAATATCGGGAATTTGTCAAAGTATTTGCCAAGGAATCGTTCGACTCACTGCCAGACCGACGGGCATGGGACCATGCAATCGAGCTCAAACCAGGTTCCAAAGCAGTGGACTGCAAGGTGTACCCGTTATCACGAAACGAACAGGTCAAACTCGACGAGTTCTTACAAGAGAACCTGGCCAGCGGACGGATCAGGCCTTCCAAATCACCCATGGCATCAGCGTTCTTCTTTGTCAAGAAGAAGGATGGCTCGCTACGGCCCGTCCAAGACTATCGGAAGTTGAACGAGATGACAATCCGAAATCGGTACCCGCTGCCGCTGATCTCCGAACTGGTCCATAATCTATGCGGTGCAAAGTTCTTCACCAAGCTCGACATCCGGTGGGGATACAATAACGTACGGATCAAAGAGGGCGACGAGTGGAAGGCTGCGTTCCGCACGAACCGCGGACTGTATGAGCCCTTGGTCATGTTCTTCGGTCTCACAAACTCCCCGGCAACCTTCCAAAACATGATGAATGACATACTCCGAGAACTGATCAACGAGGGCCACGTGGTAGTCTATCTTGATGATATACTGATCTTCACAGGGAACTTGGACGAACATCGGCGGATCACGAAACGAGTACTCGAACTGCTCCAAAAACACAAGCTGTACCTGAAACCCAAAAAGTGCGAGTTCGAACGCACGGAAATCGAATATTTGGGTGTAATTATTGGACACAATTCGATGCGGATGGACCCAGTCAAGATCAAGGGCGTGATGGAATGGCCAGAACCAAAGAGCGTCAAACAAGTACAAGCCTTCCTAGGGTTCACCAACTTCTATCGACGCTTTGTTCGGGGATATGCAGAGATTGCCAAACCATTGACACGGTTGACAGGGAAGGCAGGATGGGCATGGGGTGCAGATGAGCGTGCAGCATTTGATGGGTTGAAGAAGAGAATCGCGGAGGATGCGGTCCTAGCACTGCCAAATGACACTGGCCAATATCGTCTGGAAGCCGATGCTTCGGAAGGGGCAACAGGAGCAGTTTTGAGCCAAAACCAAGACGGCATTTGGCGCCCAATCGCATTTATTTCACACGCATTGACCGAAACCGAGCGAAATTACGAGATCTATGACAAAGAAATGCTCGCGATCATGTTATCACTCGATGAATGGAGGCAGCTGCTCCTGGGAGCCACGGAAACATTCGAGATCTTCACTGATCATCAGAATCTCGAGTACTTCCAAAAGCCGCAGAAGCTCAATCGACGACAAGCACGATGGATCACGGAGCTGGCGGAGTTTGATTTCACCTTACGACACCGACCCGGTGCACTCAACCGCAAGGCGGATCTCCTGTCTCGACGAGCGGATCACGATCAGGGCAAGAACGACAACAAGGACGTCACGCTACTGAAGCCCGAGTTCTTCCGATCACAAGAAGTCACATTCGAGGGACAGGATCAGCAGCTAATCGATGAAATCAAGGCCATTCGATCAATTGATGGAAGCATCAAGGCGGCCTTGGAGAAGTCACTTGTTGGATGGAAGAAGGAAGAGGGGCTTATCACGTATCATGGGAAGCTCTATGTACCAAGAGACGAAGAGTTACGGGACAAGATCATCGGATTACACCACGACACCCCTTTGGTCGGACACGCTGGGATCAACCGAACGCAGGAGATGGTGGAAAGGAACTACTGGTGGCCCAGGATGGGAAACCAAATTCGGAAATACATCCAGACGTGCGAGGCGTGCCAATGGACCAAGACCAGAAGAGCAAGGACAGGGACTCTACACCCGCATGCAGTTCCAAACGCACCGTGGGAAATCATCTCGATGGATCAAATTGGACCCTTGCCGGTCAGTAACGGGTATGATGCAATCCATGTGTGGTGTGACACCTTCACCAAAATGATCCATGTCGAACCAATTAGTACTGACATCAGCAGTGAAGGAGTCGCACGGCTAACCAGGGACCAAGTCTTCCGCTACCATGGGATCCCTCGCAAGATCATCACCGACAGGGACTCGCGTTACATCAAGGGCTTCATGAAGGAGACGAATCGGATGTTGGGCGTGGAAATGAACCCGGGGACCGCATATCACCCGATCACGGATGGACAAACCGAACGCATGAATCAGGAGATCGAACACTATCTCCGCATTTACGTCAACTACCATCAGACGGATTGGTCGGAGTGGCTGGGAATGGCGGAGTTCGCATACAATGACAAAATGAACACGTCTACCAAGATGTCGCCGTTCTATGCAAATCACGGATATCACCCATGGAAGGGAGTGGAGCAAAGGACACCCATAGTACTAGGATTTAGCATAATTCATGCCTGTAGCCATAGGAAATCCATGATAATGTATGGCTGTAGCCATGGCATGGCTGGGGCCATGGTGTTAGGCTACAGATATTCGATGCAATCACCACAGCACGTGACTCGGCTGACAATCTAGGAACTTCTGTGATGGGCAGGCACAGGCGGGCGCCTCTGCGGCCCGCTAGTTAGCCGGTTAGGGTTTGGGTTAGGGTTTGTGTCTAGGGTTAGCGCTAAGGATTAGGGACATATATCGTCATTTTCAAAGGTTAAGTTTGGGTTAGAGATAGGTTCTGGTTTGGTTAGGCTTGGTTTGGTTGGGAGGTTAGGTGGTAAGGGTAGTTCACCTGGCTTTGTGCCCAAAGCATTTCAAGTGCCCGACCTATGGAGGAAAATGACATGAGATTGAACAGATGCATGGTGTAGTGGTTATGCATCAGATGCGTTTGAGATTTTTGAAGGGCAACCGTTCAATTCACGCTTAAGTCATTTCCTTATTTGGGCTCTGTGGCACGTGCATTGATGGCCATGTCACATGGAGCGGCCATGGCTACAGCCAGACGTTATCATGGATTTCCTATGGCTAGGGCCATGGTTCGTTATCCTAAATCTTAGTGCCATGGCTCCAAAGGATGGAATCAAGGAACGAGTCGGCGGAGGAATTTGTAAAAAGAATCAAAGAAATACAAGACGAAGCAAAAGCAGCATTGGAAAAAGCAAAAGAAAAATGAAAAAATACTACGATAAACAAAGAAAAGAAGTTCCGGAGTTGAAGGTTGGGATGAAGGTGTACATAGAAGGGGAAAATATCGAAACGGATAGACCATCAAAGAAGATGAGCGACAAGAGATTGGGACCATACAAGATACTGGAGAAGGTTGGAGCGGCCGCATGGAAGCTGGATTTGCCGGACACGGACCGAAGACACCCGGTGTTCAACGAGTCACTATTGACACCTTATCATGAACCACCCCCCCATCGCCGAGAGAAGAGACCCGTAGCCAAGATGATCGGAGGAGCAGAGGAGTGGGAAGTCAAAGAAATCGTGAAAGAACGAAAAGTCGGCCGAGGAAAACAGTACTTGGTCAAATGGAAGGGATGGCCGCACAGCGAGAACACCTGGGAACCATCACGTCACCTTACCCACGCGAAGGACGTCCTGAGAGACTGGCAGAGGAAACAATCAAATCCAGACACACGCATTCGCCTCCTGCCAACGCTCAAAGCTGGACACTGGGACTATCTCATTCATCGTTACAAGCCCAGGGACAAGCGCCTTCCATATCCCGAACGACAACTCTTCGACCCCTACGAGAACGTCTTCACGCCCATTGGCCTAGTCGATGAGGACATCGACCCTAGAGAGGGGGTAATGTCATAGTTCGACCACTTTTTCATCTTATCATCGACGATCTTATCTTATCTTGGCACGACTTATCTTATCACAGATCACGGCATCAGACGGTCCGGGCTAGGGGTTCCAGGGATTATCTCTATCGATTCGAGGCTGCACGACATATGCTCCGGAAGGTTCTACTACAACCCATGACCAGCGTTCCATGCGGTACATAGTCTTATGACTCATTAGTTGTAGATATGACTCAGACTGGATTTGGGTATAAATACTGTAGCTACCTGGTTGTATTCTCCAGTCTTCGAATTCACTTCTCTTTTCGACTTTGTTTTTGGGTTGATTGTCACAGTCTGGTAGAAATTTCACCAGCCACCGGCATCTAGGATCTGATCGCAGCCTGTAGATTTTCTTGGGTTGATATTTTGAGAAGGGAGTGCTGAGAAGGGCGCCGCCGTAAGGTGTGTTCTTGGAAATATCAAACTCTCCTACGGGGCGCAGGATACCGGTGGGCTTGTTCAGAAAGAAAAAAGACGTGATGAGTGGCAAGCCATAGTTTGGCGGAACCGTTTCCGATGTCAACGGTAACAGCTAGCCCATGTCGACCAATCGACCCGATCTCTTTCTAATTCAAGGGCTGTATGTATACCATCCTCGTGATGCGGCGTGCGGGTCCCTATAAAAACCTGACGGAGTGCAATTTCCATCTTCAAGCCAATCATGTTGCGCATTCTCTGTACCCTCCCTTTTCTTGCGGTGGCTATTGCTACACCGATTGGGTTGAGCGCCGATCTGGCTGCTCTGGACCAAATCTCCCTCACGATCACCGCTCTCGGAGTCTCCATCGCCGCTCTCCCGAGCTCTGGGCCGGCAAACTCAGCCCAGCTCGCTGTGCGTAGATTTTTCTGGCCGTCAATTATCGCCAGCATGTTGAGTGCCGAGAATTTAGCTTTTCCAGACCAGCATGAACAATCTTCGGAGTGCGGTTGATAACGCCGGGGCAGTGATGCTTGCAAACCCGCCCCAGAGGGATGATGAATGCGGCGTCACGCTCCCCCCGATTCAGGAGGTGTTCCCTGACAGATTTGTTGCTGCCTTCCAAGGTGCAACTATCAAAGCGGACACCTAAGGAACATCCGCCGCGGAGGGTACCCCCCCCTGTTAGGGGTCAAAATTCGACTGATTTGGGTACCTAACAGGGGGGGTACCCTCCGCACTTTTGGCCATCCTCCGCACCAAAACCTCCGCAAATGGGTGCCAAGCATCCGCAACAAGCCCTGTAACCAGCTGCGGATCCATCCGCTCCTGGCTCTCCCCGTGATCGTTGTGATGCCATCATGCAGGCCATCCACGGACCATGTCATGTGACTGTTCTCCAGTGCGGAACCCTCCGCATTTCTTGCTCTTTTATTTTTTCAGTTCTAGCCTGTATATATTGCTTCACTGTGGACTTGAGCCTTCTGTAGCCAATGTATGCAAGTGCTTTTGACTCCCAAATGATTATAGCTGCTTCAAAGACCTCTATGTGCAGCAAACAAAGAGTGTTAGTTGGGCCAATTCAGTGCTTGGGCTGTGCGGATGCTCTGCATTGTTTCTGGATTGCTAAATTGGTTGCTCAGAACCTTAATGCGTAGGATAAACATAGAACGCAAGCTTCTCAGATGTTGCCAGGTTCCTTAGAACCCAGGTAGGCCTCTCCAGCACCCACAGCAGCTGAAACGTGCGCCATGCGGATGCATCCGCCACCTGCTGTCCAGGGCCAGATTGGGGCAGGCCCTGTTCAGTACAGGCTCTGCAGACAATTCCACTTGCACAGCTTCGCCTGCCATGATCAGTGCATGCAGCCAGGATCCTCCTGCATTGACAGCATGCTGTGCAGATGCATCCGCCCCTTGCGGTCCAGAGCCAGATTTCAGCATAGGCTCTGTGGATGGTTCAACTTGCACACCATCAGCTGCCAGGCTCCTTAGAACCCAGAGAGCCCTTGCCAGCACCCACAGCAGCTTAAAAGTGTGCCATGCAGATGCATCCGCCACCTGCTGTCCAGGGCCAGATCGGGGCAGGCCCTGCTCAGCACAGGCTCTGTGGACAGTTTAAATTACAGACAATCACCTACTATGATTGGTGCATGCAGCCAGGCTCCTCTCACATTGACAGCAGCTTGAGAGCATGCTGTGCAGATGCATCCGCCACCTGCTGTCCAGGGCCAGATTGGGGCAGGCTCTGCTTGGCACAGGCTTTGTAGACAGTTAAAATTGCACACTGTCAGCTGCTATAGTCGGTGCATGCAGCCAGTATCCTCCTGCATCAACCACAGCTTGAATATGTGCTGTGCGGATGCATCCGCCCCCTGCGGTCCAGAGCCAGATTTCAGCACAGGCCCTGCAGACTCTTTGGCCTGGGGTCGCCCTCTGCATCAGAGCTCTGCAGATCCAGCCCAATCATCTGCATGCAGGCTCTAAAAACATCTGCTGATCCATCCGCATCTCATTTTACTGGTGATGCCCTTGATGGCATCATTTTGGTGCATTGCAGATGGTCCTTGAACATCCGCACAGGGATTTGATGGGTCCTGCGGATCCATCTGCACTCAAAATAATCTTTGCAGGCCCTGCTTCTTCTATATGAATGGCCTGAAGAGCCTCTGAAACATTGTTCATCTGGTGCACAAATGGATCTGCACATTGGAATGGGGGCTGTGGCTCTGTCCCACAAGCCAATCTTATGCAGCATATATCTACTGACATTTTAGCCAGTGCACCGAGCTCCAGAGGCTCTGGGGACATCCAGAGCACACAAGGAAATGAACTGCTGATGCATCTTCAGCCAAATTGGCCAGCTAAATATGTGGCTGCTGCCCAGACAGCCCAAATACATTACATCACTTGAATGAATAATGCTATTGACCAATACAATTCATTACACAATTTCTGGAAGGGATATTGCATGGAATTTGATATGTAAGCAAGCCAAACAGTGATTCTCCTATCTGCGGATGCTATTTCAACCATCCGCAGAAGCATCTGCAGCAGCTAGTGACATGGTTGCGGATGTGTCACATGACCCTCCGCAGTCTCTTTGTGGGACATATCTGCTCAATATAGCCTCAATGGATGTCCTCTGTCTCTGCAGCATGTATCTAAGATGTCTTTTTTGCTACCTGCATAGTTCTATCAACAATAGGAAATTTATCTGTCCTGCACAGGATTTTAAATTCTTTGCACCATAATTGTTGCTCATATACAGGTCGGATAAGCTCAGCTGTCCCACTAGGGAATCGAAATTTGTCAGAGACAAGCTATAAGCCAGCAGACACTGAACCTGGAAAGAACCTATCTGTACAATATAAAAAAAGCGAATTGAACATGATTCATATTTCAAGCTTTACACATTCATACATGTCTTGCAATTCAAGGGCCAAGACTTTAAGACACAGCATTCAATGTTTTGAGCTCAAAAAAGTCTCTTAGATCAAAAATATTTTCGATTTTGGTCAATGAGCAGGTTGAGCTCAGTACTACCATAGGAAACTGTGTTCAGGTCATGGCACTTTTCTGCATGACAAAAATATTTTCCTCAGTGAGCTGAATTGAGTTTATATTCGAGATGGGGCATATCTAAATAGCATCTGAACAAATTCTGAGCAGGATCGCAGCATCATAGCTTTCTTCAGTGCAAGTTTGAATGATCCGCAGATGCATCCGCAAGATCAACATTTCAAAATTGTGTCCCTGTGAAGGCTATGATGCTGCGATCCTGCTCAGAATTTGTTCAGATGCTATTTAGATATGCCCCATCTCGAATATAAACTCAATTCAGCTCACTGAGGAAAATATTTTTGTCATGCAGAAAAGTGCCATGACCTGAACACAGTTTCCTATGGTAGTACTGAGCTCAACCTGCTCATTGACCAAAATCGAAAATATTTTTGATCTAAGAGACTTTTTTGAGCTCAAAACATTGAATGCTGTGTCTTAAAGTCTTGGCCCTTGAATTGCAAGACATGTATGAATGTGTAAAGCTTGAAATATGAATCATGTTCAATTCGCTTTTTTTATATTGTACAGATAGGTTCTTTCCAGGTTCAGTGTCTGCTGGCTTATAGCTTGTCTCTGACAAGTTTCGATTCCCTAGTGGGACAGCTGAGCTTATCCGACCTGTATATGAGCAACAATTATGGTGCAAAGAATTTAAAATCCTGTGCAGGACAGATAAATTTCCTATTGTTGATAGAACTATGCAGGTAGCAAAAAAGACATCTTAGATACATGCTGCAGAGACAGAGGACATCCATTGAGGCTATATTGAGCAGATATGTCCCACAAAGAGACTGCGGAGGGTCATGTGACACATCCGCAACCATGTCACTAGCTGCTGCAGATGCTTCTGCGGATGGTTGAAATAGCATCCGCAGATAGGAGAATCACTGTTTGGCTTGCTTACATATCAAATTCCATGCAATATCCCTTCCAGAAATTGTGTAATGAATTGTATTGGTCAATAGCATTATTCATTCAAGTGATGTAATGTATTTGGGCTGTCTGGGCAGCAGCCACATATTTAGCTGGCCAATTTGGCTGAAGATGCATCAGCAGTTCATTTCCTTGTGTGCTCTGGATGTCCCCAGAGCCTCTGGAGCTCGGTGCACTGGCTAAAATGTCAGTAGATATATGCTGCATAAGATTGGCTTGTGGGACAGAGCCACAGCCCCCATTCCAATGTGCAGATCCATTTGTGCACCAGATGAACAATGTTTCAGAGGCTCTTCAGGCCATTCATATAGAAGAAGCAGGGCCTGCAAAGATTATTTTGAGTGCAGATGGATCCGCAGGACCCATCAAATCCCTGTGCGGATGTTCAAGGACCATCTGCAATGCACCAAAATGATGCCATCAAGGGCATCACCAGTAAAATGAGATGCGGATGGATCAGCAGATGTTTTTAGAGCCTGCATGCAGATGATTGGGCTGGATCTGCAGAGCTCTGATGCAGAGGGCGACCCCAGGCCAAAGAGTCTGCAGGGCCTGTGCTGAAATCTGGCTCTGGACCGCAGGGGGCGGATGCATCCGCACAGCACATATTCAAGCTGCTGTCAATGTGAGAGGAGCCTGGCTGCATGCACCAATCATAGTAGGTGATTGTCTGTAATTTAAACTGTCCACAGAGCCTGTGCTGAGCAGGGCCTGCCCCAATCTGGCCCTGGACAGCAGGTGGCGGATGCATCCGCATGGCGCACGTTTCAGCTGCTGTGGGTGCTGGAGAGGCCTACCTGGGTTCTAAGGAACCTGGCAACATCTGAGAAGCTTGCGTTCTATGTTTATCCTACGCATTAAGGTTCTGAGCAACCAATTTAGCAATCCAGAAACAATGCAGAGCATCCGCACAGCCCAAGCACTGAATTGGCCCAACTAACACTCTTTGTTTGCTGCACATAGAGGTCTTTGAAGCAGCTATAATCATTTGGGAGTCAAAAGCACTTGCATACATTGGCTACAGAAGGCTCAAGTCCACAGTGAAGCAATATATACAGGCTAGAACTGAAAAAATAAAAGAGCAAGAAATGCGGAGGGTTCCGCACTGGAGAACAGTCACATGACATGGTCCGTGGATGGCCTGCATGATGGCATCACAACGATCACGGGGAGAGCCAGGAGCGGATGGATCCGCAGCTGGTTACAGGGCTTGTTGCGGATGCTTGGCACCCATTTGCGGAGGTTTTGGTGCGGAGGATGGCCAAAAGTGCGGAGGGTACCCCCCTGTTAGGTACCCAAATCAGTCGAATTTTGACCCCTAACAGGGGGGGGTACCCTCCGCGGCGGATGTTCCTTAGGTGAAAGCGGACGTGTTCGCATGTGAGTTCGCTAGTTCTCCCCCAGTGCGATTAAGTATCTGTTGCTGATGTCTCTCTTAGCGGTCAACACCCAGGTGGCCGCGCAGGTGAATGCTCTGGGAGTGGAGACGGCACTCTAGGCAGACTGGTATGAGACCCTAACAGGGTGGTCAACTGGGTCATTTTTGGTACCCGAGTAGGGTCAAATACCACATGCTTTGGCAGCAACCACCCTCAATTTGTGAGGATTGAAACTGGGCCCCAATGATCAGTACTGCCTAGTAGAGGGCCTGCTGGGCTTGGATATTTATGTAGGCATAGCTAGCATCAAGGTGCTGGCCCCCTAGGGGCTCATGGCACACCCTGGGCCTACTGTTGCCCAGATATGGAAAATGGCCCAATCAGGCCAGTATTGTCCTGACGCTGGATACAGCAGCTTGGTACTGAGCAGAGGAGCATTTTGAATATGCATGCATACTGAGAACATGCTCTTGTACTGATTGGCTTAGCTAGGGCCTGCTGCAGGTCAAATGCCCAAATTCCCGGGATCATGCCAGTAGGGCCTGTGAGCAATCTATGGTAGCTGTGAATGGGTCAGAGAAGCACTGAACATTGATATACACTCCTCTCACCTGTGTTCTGAGTTATTGGTGCGTGCTGCGCCTGCTGCAGGTCAAATATGGGCATTTGCCTAATTGGGCCGATATACCCCAGGGGATGGATGTTAAAGCATTAGATCAGTTGTAGGTAAATCCTATAGTATTAGAAACTCTGTGGAACACTGGACTGGGTCATCAGTGCTCTCAGTGCCTTCCGCAGGCCTGATATTAAAATTGGCCTGATCAGGGTATCATGGCCCAAATAATGGATATTAGGGCATAAAATCAGTTGGGGATACATCCTATGGTACCAGGAACTTCCCGGAGTCCTGTTCAAGGTCATTGATGCATGCTGCACCTCCTGCAGGTCAAATATGGAAATTTGCCTGATAGGGTCGGTATAGCCCATGGGATGTGTCTTGGAGTGAGAAATGACATGGAAGGCCTCTAAGAATATTCTAAAACTCCCTGGAAGACTTCTCCAGTCATCAGTGCACCCAGTACCTTCTGCAGACCAAATGTAGAAATTTGCCCAATTAGGGTCGTATAGCCAGTATGATAGGTATTAAAGCATTACATGAGTTGGAGATACATCATATAGTATGAAAAGCTCTGTAGAATTGTGGAATGGGGTATCAGTTCTTCTAGTGCCTGCCACAAGTCAAATATGACAATTTCAGGGGAAGAAACTCAGTAATGGGTGGAACTGAAAGTCACTCTTGTAATGCAGATATTCTTGCTTCAGGAACCCAAAGCAATATGCTATTCCATTACATTGAGCCATTAAGAGATTTTCCGAACCCCAATAATGTGAAGATCCCACTCTATCTATCTTATTCAGGTGCAGTGGATTTTATATTAGTAGTGTGATAGAAACTCTCAAGGTGAATTCCACCCTCTCTTCAACATTGAAATGAACTTCTACAGTGATTTACAATCAGATTATAGAATCTATATCATAAGAAGACCCCAAAGTCACCATTCTTGTGAACTTGCATTAGTGGTACATCTCAATCTTGTTGAGGCATACCACTCAAAAATGAGGTGGGCTTTTTATCTTCACTTCCCTTAGATTCTATAATTTGAGTGTAAATCATGTAAATCACTGTAGAAGTTCATTTCAATGTTGAAGAGAGGGTGGAATTCACCTTGAGAGTTTCTATCACACTACTAATATAAAATCCACTGCACCTGAATAAGATAGATAGAGTGGGATCTTCACATTATTGGGGTTCGGAAAATCTCTTAATGGCTCAATGTAATGGAATAGCATATTGCTTTGGGTTCCTGAAGCAAGAATATCTGCATTACAAGAGTGACTTTCAGTTCCACCCATTACTGAGTTTCTTCCCCTGAAATTGTCATATTTGACTTGTGGCAGGCACTAGAAGAACTGATACCCCATTCCACAATTCTACAGAGCTTTTCATACTATATGATGTATCTCCAACTCATGTAATGCTTTAATACCTATCATACTGGCTATACGACCCTAATTGGGCAAATTTCTACATTTGGTCTGCAGAAGGTACTGGGTGCACTGATGACTGGAGAAGTCTTCCAGGGAGTTTTAGAATATTCTTAGAGGCCTTCCATGTCATTTCTCACTCCAAGACACATCCCATGGGCTATACCGACCCTATCAGGCAAATTTCCATATTTGACCTGCAGGAGGTGCAGCATGCATCAATGACCTTGAACAGGACTCCGGGAAGTTCCTGGTACCATAGGATGTATCCCCAACTGATTTTATGCCCTAATATCCATTATATGGGCCATGATACCCTGATCAGGCCAATTTTAATATCAGGCCTGCGGAAGGCACTGAGAGCACTGATGACCCAGTCCAGTGTTCCACAGAGTTTCTAATACTATAGGATTTACCTACAACTGATCTAATGCTTTAACATCCATCCCCTGGGGTATATCGGCCCAATTAGGCAAATGCCCATATTTGACCTGCAGCAGGCGCAGCACGCACCAATAACTCAGAACACAGGTGAGAGGAGTGTATATCAATGTTCAGTGCTTCTCTGACCCATTCACAGCTACCATAGATTGCTCACAGGCCCTACTGGCATGATCCCGGGAATTTGGGCATTTGACCTGCAGCAGGCCCTAGCTAAGCCAATCAGTACAAGAGCATGTTCTCAGTATGCATGCATATTCAAAATGCTCCTCTGCTCAGTACCAAGCTGCTGTATCCAGCGTCAGGACAATACTGGCCTGATTGGGCCATTTTCCATATCTGGGCAACAGTAGGCCCAGGGTGTGCCATGAGCCCCTAGGGGGCCAGCACCTTGATGCTAGCTATGCCTACATAAATATCCAAGCCCAGCAGGCCCTCTACTAGGCAGTACTGATCATTGGGGCCCAGTTTCAATCCTCACAAATTGAGGGTGGTTGCTGCCAAAGCATGTGGTATTTGACCCTACTCGGGTACCAAAAATGACCCAGTTGACCACCCTGTTAGGGTCTCATACCAGTCTGCCTATAGTGGAGACGGACGAGTATTTCGATGCTACTATTGACGCGTGTCCGGTAAGTCCTCCCCAGCTTTGAGACTAGACACCCTCTGCTCACATGAATTGTAAGAGCATTAGCAATCCTTTGGGAAGTTGGCGGTGGATGGGGCCTTGCAAGGTTTCACCGACGCGCTTGGCGTGTAGCGAACGTCCGGTGTTCCGAGTTCTATTGTACCACTAGTTCAACTGCCAGCAGAGATATGATGCATGTCTATGCATGTTGTCATTTCAATCATTATGTTCCATATGCGTCCCCGGCTCCCAGCCTCAGGAACATGAGAGAGTTATCGCTGATTCTTCAAGTGCGATTCATTTCCACACATCTACTGCCTCCCGTTTTGGGGATCTTCACATACATCATCTTGATCGACTCGACAAAGCTGCATGTACCCAGGAATGTGCACCTCCCCGACGGGGACAGTCTCTCGGTTTACAAGCCAGCTGGAGAACGGACGAAGCACGGGTCTTCTGGTCATCACCTCATCGGTCGTCGAAATGATACATTCAAGGCTGGTATCTACATGGTGGAAGCCATAGAGGCACCGCACGAGGTAGGGGTAGGCTCGGATCGCATGCCGCATCCGTTCCTTCGGACCTGCGAGAGTGAGTTTGATCAGTACTTGCTCGCTCTCGCGTGCGTCGAGTCCTGATCCCTCGAGCCCAAATCTTCCTTAGGCTTCCCAACCTCTCGTCACGTCCACATCTCGCTCTCACGCTCAACTTGGCCTTTGGCTGCAGCACAAAAGACGATTGTCCGTCTTGAACGCGCGCCGGTCGAACTTTGAGGGGATCTCGTACGGCATCCCTCTCGACAGGCCAATGGCAATAAGTCTCGACGCGCAGGCACAGAACATTCGCGAGAAGCTGCATATGGAGAGATTCAGGGCGGCGGCACATTCTTGGACACAAGAGTGCCTGGTGCAGGGAAGAATCTCCTGAGCAGAACTGGTAGCTGAATGAGGTTTAGGCGCGTAATTATGCTGCGTATGGGAGGCGAACTATGCTCATGTGGCGGTCGCGTTCTTCTTCCCGTTGTCGTTCATACTCGTGGTCATCTTCGCTGTAGCAGCGGAGGTCGGCGAACGCGATGCAGAGAAAGGTGATGGCTGGGAGGTAACTCGAATTTGAATTTTGTATAAATGTGGCGCATCAGTCACATGACCGTCACATGCCGATCACACCACTTGACCACCGGTGATCTTACATTCAACACTTACTACCATGCACCTGGCAAACACGTTGCATGCTGATAAATCTCAGCTGGTCTCACATACTGAACTCGGCCTCCATCGATTTCATCCATGGTCCGCTTCTCGAATGCGCTCGTGCGGATCATACAGCCGCGAACGAAGCAGGCACCAGCGATGTCGACGAATGCGCCCACAGAGATACTTCAACAGGCGTTCATCACCTTCTTCCCACCCATACCGATGCACGTTCTAGAATGGCTGTCCGGGAGATATCTCCCCGACGCGATATATAGCTCACGTGGCGCGGATGTGGGTCGATGCCGCTGGGTTTTGTTGGGAAAGTGGAGGTCCTGCTTGGGTCCTGCTTTGGAGCTTGGACGGCTCCAACTGTCGTACGTTTCCCAACCAGGGGGGATACGAGGCGGAGGGATCTCCAGTGCCTGTACGGTGCGTGGCTCGAGAGGATACAAAAGCCGCGCGCATTTCACCGGCAGGCCGTCCTCATCTTCACTTCGCCCCCATGTTTCGCGCGCTCCTCATTTTCGCTTTTCTCGCTGTGGCCATCGCGAGTCCGACTCCGAATGCAGGTCCTGCTGACGTCATCAGCGCCGTCGGGGTCATCAAAGACAAGTGCACGGTGCTCGACAACGGTGTCAAGGGCATCTCGTCCCCCGCGACCGGGACTCAAATCCTCGTGCGTGCCATCCCTGAAGTCGTGGCCGCCGCAATCTCACGGCGGACGTGGGTGTCCTAGAATCTGGAGGTCAACGTGCTCGGTGTCCAGAACGCCCTGAAATCCGCGCAGCAGACCCTCACGGGTGCGACGCTGAGCACCGCAGACTGCGCCACGTGGTCTGACGCCGTCCACGGCACCGTCCCGATCATCAGCACCACGCTGAGCGATTTCAACGCCAAGAAGTCGGCGTTGCCCAGCGGTGAGTACGGTCTCCTGGACGCCCACGTGCCTAGGGTGGTGCGGGGCAATCGTGCGTCGCTCTGAATTCAGCGCAGCTGTCAAGGTGGTCGTCTGCTCGAACGCCAAGAGCCTCCAGTCCTCGTGCGACACGTACATGAACTCGGCCAAAGGCTTGTGTCCTGTAGGTCCACGAAGGATGAATGACGCGGCGCTCCCCTGATTCGCTTCGCAGGAGCGCAAGGATCAATGGGTGTCCGACCAAGCGGCGCTGGACCAATCGTTCAAAGGGCTCCTGGATCCGAGTGGCTTCAATTGCGCGTGATCGAGTGACATGGGTCGTTGGGGGCTCGAATGTTCAGCTAACAAGTCAGAGTAGTCGACGCATGCCTCGTGATCGACCCATGCGTATGGAGTTTACGGATGAGAGATTGGGAAGTAAATGAATGTTTTGAATGTTTTGGAGGCGATGCGGCAGCGGTGAGGTCGAAGATCTTTGTTTCGATGTTCGGAGTCGCGTGGGCCTATCACACCTCCCCCTTTTCAGTGTCCAAATTTCCGGCTTCTCTGAGCACTTTGCTAAGGAACAAGAAATGATGTCTGCGGCATCTGGAAAAATCATGCCGTCTCGGATCGCTGATATTCTTTCTTTGCCGGACATCAATGCTGTGATCTCTTGATATGTTCCTGCATCGTTTACATGCAATTTTTTGGGAGCGATCACAAAATAGAAAGTCACCAACATCATGTTTCCATCACTGTCCCTCGTGCTCGCAGCGTCACGTCGCCGTGACGCAGTCTCTGCGACGGGCTGTTCAATTTCATCCCGCTGTTCCATTCTCAAATTTTCTCAAATAATCACTGACGCCTACCTGCCAGAACACTACGCAGAATTCAGCTAGGATCATAGTGCCAGTGATTGGCCGCCCAAGCCTATGCCACCGATCCCAATGAATCTCATGGAAAGTAATACTATCCTGAAAGGCAGAATGATGAACAACTACCAAGAGCGTTTGTATAGACCCTACTCGCAGCTTAGCGTCTCACGTCAGGGACCGGAGACGCATGTTTCTCAAGCACAGGCTGCAGTAACAAAACAAAATGAGAGCAACAGTCACATGCCAGGATGCTGCTTGGCGGAATACATTCTAAGGTACAACTTGATATGCACAGATTGCATTGCAGTGCATTCAAGCACTTTCATTGCGATCTAGATCGATGAGATATCTTCGGGTTCAACCCACAGTTGTGGGAATCGAATGGGTTCAGTCATTTGACAATGAACACGATGATTGGCAAGATTGAAGAACTCGGGGACGTACCAGATGTTTTGATATGCCTGCCCTGAGGATGAGCGAGACGCGCATCAAGAATGCAGTCGCCATTACTCATCTCTCGGCGATGTGCACCGAGCATCAGATCCAGGCCAGGTTTGTCTTACTTGACGTCCTGTATGCGGACACAAACTGAGTTGACGGCAAGGATCGTCACCTAAGCTTTAACCCCGCTGCCTTCGAGGACCCATTCTTCCGAATGCTCGTCAAAAACACCAAAATAACGTATAGCATTCCCTGTGGCTGCATTAATTGAGTCGAGATTCGGAATCGGTGGCTGCGGTTGAGCTGAGCACGGTCAGCGAAAGAACGGGTCTTGCAATGGTGCTTCAAGTACGCCAGTCGCCGCCAAAGACAAAACCTGTAACCGCGCTGAACGCATTCCCTAGCATTTGAAAATGAATTGTGTAAGCTTTGAACGATGTACGATGCCCGATACCGAGTCGTGAACGGTCCAAAGAAAGCCTATAGGGATTCGTCAAAGACCCACGTGATCCATCATGATGCTCAGGTCAGCTTCCCATTTCCCCGACGCTGCTTTGTCGATCTCTCGGCGACGCTGCCGCCTACCGCTGTGTCTGCCTCATTTTCAGTATATGTCAGCTCGCCGCGTTGTGCTACCATGGAAAGTGACCCGCTGCACTACCACCAGTGGGTACTGTACATGTATGTCATGTCAGCGCCGGCTCCGCAATATCTGGCGGCTCATTGCGGCGGAGAGTTACTCTGGCAGCTTGTTCTATGAGCGCTGTGCGGAGAGATCGGATTCATCGTCAGATAACGGCTACTCTCCACTCGATGCTAGCTTGTTGTGACTACGGATAGGCCTTCCTCTGATCTCCTGCCTGCTCCAACCCAGGCACCCTCATTTTGCTCACCTTGAAGTCAGGTGTAGCCTGAGGCCTCAAAGCTGGAATGACGGATTGCTCTTGGCGCTCATATGTCCGTCGGTCGCCAGCTGACAAACACTGACTTGCACTTGGCTGACACTATGAATGTAGCGCTGGCAGTCGGGGCTGACCGCTCACGAGTCGCAACTCGGACTTTCACATCCAACGGTGCCCGCCCTCTTTCCCAGTCGCGTTGCCCCATTGAGCTGCCATGGCAAACGAGGCGTCTTGTACCACAGCAGTCCCTAGCACCCGACGACGTCTTTGCTGCAGCGAACATCTTTGAACGACCGTGGCCACCGCATTGTATGGACTGAGGATGCCATTCTGCACCAAATTTCAATGCGCTCAGCCGGCTAAGGATGGAACCTGAGGATGAGTAAGCCGGGGATGCGGAGAAAGCAAGACCTGTCAGTGGTAAGGATATACGAGATCAAAGTGCAGCGAAAGGTTGTTGCTGACCATTGCGGCAGAGTCCGGTTGTAGCACTGCACGAAGAATGAGACGGAAGTCTTACCGCCCATGGTAAACAGCATAGGGAGCAGTTGGGGATGTGCGGGCAGAATGCAAAACGACCAGTCAGAATGCCTTGTGCGCGCACTGATTCGGAACGGGTCTCTCTCGGCAAATGCAAGCAGAATCAGGTACCGTCTACACATCCAGTCCGGCGGTGTACCATTACACAAAGTTAGATTACAAGAGCTGCTCCGCAGCATACAACAACAACAAAAAAGAAACGGTCACTTGAGCTTCCGCAGCTTCTCCATAACATCCTTGATGTCAGCCTTGTTCCACTCCCCGCTCCATCCCTGGGCACGTTCCTTCCGGACAGTCGGCGACAGGAACCGCGTGCCTTGCTCTGCCGCCATCGCCGGTGCTGCTGCCTGCGGGTCGAGATCAAGAAACGGCGTGTCCGGACGCGGGGGATGGCGCTCCAGCGACGGCCGTCCAGCCATAAACGGGGTGGCGGGTCGAGACCGGCCTAGGAAGAAATCTTCGAATGGTGTTTGTGGGCGCGACGCGTCGAAGGGCGTCCCAGGCCGCGAATACGACGCTGAATGGTCTGTGTGCGCTGGCATCGGCATGATTCGCGTTTCGAATGCGCGCGGACCCGGCTGCAGGGGTGCATCGACGATCGGAACCGCGTCACCCTCCAGCTCGGCCCCATTCTCCTCCTCCTCCCGCTCTCTCCCCTCCTCGTCCTCGGAGTCTCGATAGCCAATATCAATAATGTGGCTGTCCGCAACCGGAACGGCAGAAGGCACCGGCTCCGACCGCGGCTGCGGCTGCGGAGTTTGCGATCGCCTAGGAAACGCGAACAGGATCGGGGAGCCTAGCGCCAACGAGCGGCGCCTCGGAGGCATCGTCGCGAACGCCGACAGAGTCGGCGAGGGCGTGCCGGCCCTGTTTCCCTCGCCGGACTCCAACGACGAGTCCCGCGAGTGCGAGCCGCTCCGGAGCCTCGACGCAATCGTATTGAACGATAAGCTCGCTCGCCGCGCAAGCTTGGTCGTCGCCGACGCCGCCGCACTGCTCGCGCTCGACGCACCCGCGCGGCGCTGCGGCTGCACGGCGTCCATCGACCGGCGTGGCGGAAGGATATCCGACAACGCGGAACCGAGGCCAGTCGTATACTGCTGCTGCTGCAGCAGCAGCTTCTTATTCTTTTGCGGTGGCGGCGGCGTGGGTCTGAGTACGCTCGTCGGCTCCGCCCGGAGGGTGATCAGGTCCGCGGGTATCGCCTCGCCCAGGATCCTCGTCAGCTTGTGCAGCTGGCGCCGCCGCAGCTCGGATTCGGGCACCTCCAGTGGCGTATCGGGCGCAGATGGCAATATCGAGGCTGGTGAAACGACCTGGATGGCGGGGACCCGCAGTTCCGACTCCACGTATGCGGGATCTGGCGCAGATAACGGCTGGGCGGCGTCCCACGTCGAGCTCTTCAGCGGCAGCGGGGCGGGCGATCTCATCTTCTTCGGCGGCTGAGGGTACGAGGGCGAGGGCGAGGAGCCTGACTTCAGGGACGGTGAGGATGCGGAAGAAAGCGAGTAGAAAGATTGGGCTGTTGATGGTCGTGACTTGTTCGCTCGCAGCGCATCGCCATGAATGGATCCCACGGAGGTTGTTTCAGACGAGGAGCTGTTCTGCCGTTTGAAGGAGGAGTACACGGATGGTCTTGAGAGGTTCGTCACGAGCATGAGAGCGGAGAAAGATGAAGATGGAGAAGGGAGGAAAGGCAAAGCGAGCAGAAGGGAAGAGGGGAAAAGCAGAGAGTCACAAAAGACACGCGACTGACATGTAAAAGAGAGGAAGAGAGGAAGAGGCCTCGTTGCGCTCCAGATGGAGATGCTAAGCCAAGAATAGAAGATTGTGAAACGTCCACGGCGACCTGCCACGGCCCACTGGCAGTGATTGGACAGCAGATGGGCAGTTCCTGAAGCACAGAGAGCCGTACAGGACCTTGAATGCGCTTCAGTGCATGCTGTTGTATCCACGTCTACGACCCTCCATCGGCGCTAGAGGACAAATAGTGACGATTTCCACGCTCGCGAGGTTGGCACGGAAATCCTGCAGCAGAAGCAGATGATAGTCTGAGCTGACAAATACGTCACCTGATCTACTGTCAGCTGTAGTTAGTTGTTGCAGTTGATGACAGTGACAGTTGTCTCTTGCTGAGATCCACGTTCAGAAACAACATGCATGAACACGTTGTGGAACCCGATCTCTTCGTCGTCTGACACTCTCCGCGTCGCTGGGTCTGCTGATCGGCTTCCTCTATGCCAACCTAATAATACACAGCAAGACTGACCAGAGATTTGCCTCACTTTTCCTGCTGCGACTGTTACCGAACCTCTTTCGAAGATCGGCCTTATCTGTCTTCGTAGCCGATAGCGATAACACATGAATATCACAAATTGCTGAGTGGCTCTCCATCTCTGCATCCTCTAGCCGCTCTTACTAGAAATTGAGCCTTCACGCGCAACTCACTACTCGCCGAATTCTGGTCGCTTGTCTCAAGCCATGCAATGCGGAACACAAATCTAGATCTTGTCGTAAAACTCGTAATGCCAGCCGAAATTCAAAAAGTGCCTAGCAATGACGCAAAAAACGTCCCAAACCCGCCAGCCGACCCTGTAGGCACTCATCAATTTCGCCCATATTCCGCGTAAAAATGAGCCCTTGCAAGCCCCTGGATTTTAGAGTTGGCTGGGCTAGTCCCTCCGAGGGACAAATGAACATTCATGTCTCCCTCGCTGCCGATGAGGAAGGGGGTCAGACGGCACGGCCGATGTCCCTGGAAAACATGAGAACGCAAACGTGTGTATGTCGGAATTGACACTAGCTTATGCTCACGTCTGGGTGGAGCCCGTGTCAATATGAGCCCACGCTCCGGCGTCAGTAAGCTCTACTGTCATTGGCGTTGCCGGTCGCAGGATCAGGTGCGCAAGTACGAAATTGCGAGGGAAAGTTTTTTTGGCTGATTGTTACGCGGCTCACGTGGAGTCACATGATCGCGTCGACTGATGACGGATATGGAGAGGGTCACTTCTCACGCGTTTCCACGTTCTCAGTGAGTTGATTGGATTTGATCGCAGATATAAAGACTGAATATCCTCGAAACTGCCGTATCCAAGTATTAGCACACTGACTGCGGTCGACTGGTCTCTCATCACGAAGAGTATCGACGAGATCTACGTTGGGGCGCCAAAGCTCGAATCACACAATGAGTCACATCCATTCCTTGGTCTCGCAGCTTGAAAGCTGGAATATACCTCGACATCCAGCTGGATCAACGCTAAGGGTCGCGCACTGGCAAGAATCGACGGGTGCCTCAAGCCCACACCTCTTCATCTCGCTTCTTAGTCCCTAGGAAACCGCTCATTGGCGCCTCTGCAACCAACCAACCACCTCGTCTCGGAAGCGCACTGAATCGTCTGCGTATAACTGCCAGCGGCATTTCAGGCCGGAATCTTTCCTGTTGACATGCGCTATGCTCCCTCGATCGTCCGCGGTTCGCGCGCAACAGATCTCTTACTGTGGTTGATTCCTGTGGGACGCTTCCAATATTATCAGTGCAGGGCGTCTGTTGTCTCCCGCCCCTCAACTCTGCGCCGAAAACCCCAATCTCACGTATCGCTCCTCAATCCTAGCCCTGAGTCCGGCATTCGTCTGGCACTCGAAGACCAGCTAGTCTCAGGAGAGGCACCCAGACGGAACCGTGCACTTGTCACAAGGGATTATGCATATCGGTATCTGCGAGCGGCTGCTACAAAACTACTAGGTCGCAACTTGCATTTTAAGAGTATCATGAACTCGGCGGGCTGATCATGCAAACATTAGCGACCAAGAACATGCGGCCGTATGATACACAGGGAGAGTACTGCCGGGATGCGAGGGGGTAGATACCGGTTGGAGAGACCCGAGTCACTCGCGATGTTGGATCCCGAATGAGAGATGGTCAACGTTCCTCTGAGATCGTTGTGAGGGGGAAAACGTGTGAGATATTTTCGGATTGGACGAAGATTACTTGAAGACAACAGGTATATTTGACGTGAAGCTTGGTTTTAGCTCGAATAAGTAGCGCACTCGCGGAATCTTGCATACAAGACCAATGAAACCGCGCACCGCTGCTTCAGCGACGTGCGCGGATCCGCAATGGATTTGGCGAGCCTATTTTAGGGCTTCAGTCAGTCAGACGATTTGAGTGCGATGTAAGCATCATACCGTGAAATAATGTGATGAGTGTAAGTACTGTGGCGTACCTGCCAGATTTTCATCGCCCAACTATCTTCGGCGCCTTTATCTGGAACAAGGCCAAGGAATCCGTGAAGACGAAGCGAATCTAAGAGGAGAGCGTCGCATAGCTGGTCTTCTAGGTGGATAATGGCGGCCATTTGGCAAAGCCAACTATTGATGATGCTTGATAGGCAGACCACAGTTTTCTCACAGCATCAAATAAAAAATGCAACATTCATCAGTGGGTCCAAGGTAGGTACTGTGCACAGCCACGAAACCTTTTTTACTACATGTTTTTCTCCCTCTTTACTCTCGCGTGACCGTTTTGATATGAATGATTTGCAGAAATTGCAAAATTTTAGTTCGGGCCACTTCGCCACATCAATGACATGCATCACAACCGTCATGATATAGCCCACCGGCACTGCCATCAGCTCCTCGATAGTGTAGCGGTTTAACATAGGTGCCTTTCACGCACTTGCCCGGGGTTCGACTCCCCGTCGGGGAATGCTCTTCGTTTTGCTCCGGTGGTCTGAGGCGCCAGAATGTCGATACACCCAGCGTGACGGAGTCCCGGGGGTTAATCATATGTATCAATTGCGTTCTGACCTTCGACAGAAATATTCATCAGACGTTCTAGATAACATTCGGTATAACGTGGGCCAGGTGTATATGTGTCAATAGATTTCCAGTATGCTTACAAAAGCGACGAGTCCAGTGCCGCGTAAAGAAGACTCAGCTGGACATGAGAATGGCAAGAACACATGATTGGATGTGATCCCCCGTCCGATAGTGGGAACAAGTAACAAACACGAGCGAACTAGACTGGAAAGCCGGGACCTTTGACTTCATGGTACGACGACGGGGCTAGGGAATCCGAATCGCTGGCTGTGCTTTCGGCTCTCGAGCTCAGCGAAGGGCACACCTGCGGGCCATCCCTAGCCCGCCAACGAGAGCCGTCCAACGGTGTAGTTTGGGAAGGAGAGGGCACAGGATCTGCAGATAGGGAGCCAAGCGCCGAGGTGGGAAGAACCGGCGAGGCGACCGTACGCTGGGCCGTAAGATGCGCCGGGCGGAGAGGCTGACTCAATCGAGCGCGCCCGCCGTGTGCCCCGATCCCGGCCATGGAGAAATCGGCCCCGACTTCGTCGGGGGAAGATGGTGGATCTGGACTCGGAGTGTATCTCGTGCCAGCAGAAAACGTTGCGTTCTGGTTTGTCAGTGTCGGAGCCTGGGAACGGAGCGACCGAGTATTCGACGGGATCCGATGGGACATGGACAGAGTCCCAGGGTAGCTCGAAGGTGGACAAGAGGAAGTGGTCCGAGACGCTGGTACGGGCTTCGTGGAAGATATCATTCCGGGTGTGTCACTTGGAAAGAAGGGAATGGGAGGTGTCGGTGGAGAGGTTACAGTCGGCGGTGCGGTTACAGTCGATGGAGAGGTTACCATTGGAGGGACGGTCACAGTCGGCGGAAGAGAGACAGGCGTCGTAGGGTTGACAGTGGATGCAGGGATGACAGTGGGTGCGGCGGGTACAAGCCCGTGGCTGGATTCCAATTCATCTTTCCGCAAGTCGTGTGTAACGTCCCGGCGATTCTGCCGGCGCCGGAGAAACATGATCGTAAGCGCAGCGATGAGTGTGAGGACGATGCCCCCCAGAGCAGAACTGAGTGCAATGGCTAGTGTCTTAGATCGCCTCTTTTTGGAAGAGAATGGAGCATTTGAGATCCTATCATCCACCGTGTAGCTGTGACTCGTCAGCGCCTTTGTCCTGCACTCAACGCCGAAGGAATACGTGCATGAATCCGTCGACAATGACGTAGATCCCGTCCACTGGGGCCATCTGCACGACCAGGCTATGCGATGTATTCGCCAGGCCCGTAGCCGACCAGATCACGGCCCATGCTGCCGACTCTGAGCCCCCCTCCGGCATGGGTGACACCAGCGGGTCAGTGAGGTTGAGCGCCACCACCGGCCCTCCATCGAGCGTCAAGCTAGTGCTGACCGCATACGGCCATCGCGGAGAAAGATAGTATACCGCGACGCCGGTGAAGGAGAACGTCGCAAGTGCGGACGCGTCACTGCTGAACGCGTGGCTCCCGCCATAGTCGAGTTCGGAGGCGGATTCGGACCATTGGCCGGTGTACACGATGGATGTCGTGTCCCTATCGTCAATCGTTATGTTCGTGAGAGCGTGCGTTGTCGTGATAAGAAGTAGCGAGTACGAGACGAGGAGGCGGGGAGACCGGAGAGCGCGCAGGGCCGCGATGGGCATGGCGGTATGTCGCAGGAAACTTTCACGGACGACATCAGAAGCGAGCTTCGAGCTATTTGAATGTCGTGGGCGTGTAACTTGAAGGGAGCTGATAGGCAGATCACACGACAGTTTAGTTTCCCACGGACACCGGCCTCTGAGCGCAGCACTGGCACACGACCTGTGGCTGAGTCAGGCAGTTTATAACGCTTCGAGCGGATTCGATGCGGGATTGGATAAGATTGAGATCAAGAGGTGTGCTTTAACAGACCGTGATCACTGTGACTCAGTCACTTTGCATACGATCAGTTATTGTCTGTCATGTCCGCCTAGTCTTTCCCCTTTTCAACGTCCATGAGCGAAGTCTGGAATGTCATCAGCCTCACTCAACGGTCGCGCCTGTTCCGTCTCGAACGACTCGATAGCTATTGCTTCTTTGGCAGTCGGTGCGCGCATATCCTGGCCGGCAAGCTCATGCGCGTGAAGCTGGTAGCAATGGACAAGATCGTGTGGCCCTGCATGCCAGATCATGTGGTACATTTCGAGTACCGAAGGAAATCGGCTAGCGAAATAGACGGCCTTTCCGACGAGAGGGCGAGGTAACGTGTGCGCCTCCTAGAATACGCTGTTCAATGGTGCTGACGATTACTCAGCTACCACAACCAAATTCGGTTCTTGTGCCCTGCTCGGGCTGACCAAAGGCACGTTCGACTCGAGCCAGTGAATAACTGTTGCTTATCATCTCCAAGCAGGCAATCCATGTTGCTCGATCGTCTACCAGCCGAGCTTATTGACATGGTCTTTGGCATCCTCTCTGAGGCCATGCTTGATGTGGTCTTTGCTGCCATGTCTTGCCAAATGCTGTGGGATCTTGGGCGCCGTCACATCTACGCATATCTCGAGCGTGAGGTAGCTGACATGTGGTGGACTGGACATCGCGTCCTCTGCTGCGAGGTAGATCTCTGGATCAGTGAAATACCGGACCATATCCTGTCCGCGGATGAGCAGACTGAGCTACTCAACACCAAGAACAGCACTTATCCGTGTCTCATCGATCACCTGTCCGCTGAGGCACCCCATTTGTCTTTCACTCATACGAAGCTGTCCCGAGATCTGAACGGGAGCGCCTACTACGAAGAGCGGCCTTTGGACATCCAGCATGCCATCAAGTTGTGCCATCCGCTGCAGAGCTGGGGGTCACTGGAGCAGGAAGACATCGTCTGGCCTGCACACCCTCTCATCCTGAGGAATATCACCCGGAAGCAGTATGTGCAAGGCTACGATATGGACGTCGCACTGCTCAAAAAGTACA